ACGATGGTTCAACCTCTACATCGACTAGGCCTTGGCTCTCTACGTTGTCAGCACTCTAGGACCAGCACGTCACCCGCAGAACGCATCATACCCTGCGTCAGGCTGCAGGAGCCCCCACGTCGCGCACAAGGCCTAGCTCCTGTAGCCTCGGAATTAGCGTACCCGCGCCATCGCATCAACCCGGCCTCGGCACTCCGCACTAGTCAAACCTACAGTAACCAGCTCGCCTCCGACAGAAGAAGGTGCTCCTGCCACCACGGGAACGGGCATGGCCGGCACGTCACTCCAGTGCACCGAGGACAAGACCGCTCCACCGACCATACCGCCACAGTGACAAGCTACAGGGCTCGGACATGCCGCCTCTGCCAAAAAAGAGCACCACGTAGCAAACACATGTACCGCCCCTGTACCTCCCTTCGACTATAAAAGGGAGTAACCGGGGCCGCCCCTAAGGGAAGGGGGGCACACACCCAGCACACACCCAACACACTCACGGAAACATCGCTCAGATAGACACACACGCAAGCAACGAGCAACACTCTGTAATACGCACGTTCCCTCACTGCAAGAGATCAACATCTCAAGCAACCCACGCCGCTCTACGCAGAGACCTGGGACTAACTCCCTCTCTCGCCCTGCTTGTAAACCCCTACTACGAGCACCTCGGTGCAAGGAATACAAGATCGCTCTTCTAGACTAGACGTAGGGCACCTATTGCCTGAACCAGTATAAACCTTGTGTCTCTTTGCATCACCATCCGGGATAGGGACACGCAGTACATTTTCACTCATTGGTTGAGGACCCGCTGGTCCAAAACACCGACAACGCTTCACCGAGCGAGTCACAAAGGCGAGGCAATCGCCTCTCCTAGGGCTCCCGGAGATGGTACGGCCCACAGCAGACGTGCACCGCCCGCGATCACCAAGAGGAGTAGGCGGATAGTCGCGCAGAGCCTGTCGCATATCCCGGCGTCCAAACGAGGTGAGCACCTTGTCTTGAAGCGTCTGAGACTAACCAGCGAGATGTCGTCTCTGTCCACATCGCCATGAAGGTGTACGACGAAATCTACAGCGGTGACCTCGGTAATAAGCAGGCGCTTCGTGAGTTGTTCCTGCTGGACGGTGACGTGGGTGCGTGCAAGTGGCGCCGTCTCGCGTAATTCGGGGTTGATCAGTGTCCAATGTAACACCATATAGTACAGTACACTAGGGTGGGTCTGAGCGTCCATATACAACTCTTCTACCCCCCTAAGGCGTGTTGTATTAAACTTTTTCTCTATCTTAATATAAAGACGTGCAAACCTTTTGCGTGATCGAGAAAAAAACATGGACGATGAAAAATCACATCATAGAGCCACGTCAAAATTACTATTTTAATAAATCTCAGGAAGAGAATTACTTGAGTTGTCCTGCAAACACCGTCGTAGAGAAGGCAAGCCGCTTCAAGATTATCTGATTCGATGTCTTCCTATTATAATCTTGTCACATTGTTTCTATTTATTCTAAATGATGTATGAGAAGCAAGCGTAATAATGGTTTTAAAGCTAAGCAAGTATTGAATTGAAGGAAAGAAGAGAGAAGAGAGAGAGGAGAGCTTGACTCTCATGTAAACAATAAGCTAGGCACCAAGCCTATGTAGTTTTGGGTCAAAGACATAAGAAGTTTTTTATTGACAAATAAGAGATACCTATTGTATAACTTGATTCTTATAATTTTGATAAAAAAATCATAAGTCTTTAGTAAATCAACTTGTCCTCTGATTTATTCAAAACATAACTCAATCGAAGGGATCATATACTACTCCAGCTTAAGCAAAGCGGCCATTTTGTCCGCCATTTAGGTTTCTTCTCATGATTAGCAACTGCAGGTCTGAAGCTTCTAGAATTAATGTTCAATGTAGTCTAGTAGTACTAGGTTTTACGTTTGTGTGCTCTTTTTAAGCCCTTGTTTAGTTCGCGAAATTTGGATTTTGGAGCTACTGTAGCATCTTCGTTTTTATTTAGCAAATAGTGTTCAAACATGGACTAATTAGGCTCAAAACGTTCGTCTCGCAATTTCCCACCAAACTGTGCAATTAGTTTTTCTTTTCGTCTACATTTAATGCTCCATGCATGGGCCGCAAACATTCGATGTGACAGATACTGTAGCAACTTTTTGAAATTTGGGGTGAAACTAAACAAGGCGTAAATTAGGTTGGTAATTCTATTATTACCCTCGGCTTTTCGCCCAACGGCCTCTCTGCTTTGAGAAAGAAGGAAAAAAACATCCTATATAAAATCATCTTGTTGCTATCACACACACAACACACCGGCGGCCTCCGGAGGATTAACATGTGTGTAGTGTGCGCGCGCCTCGTAGTTCTTTCCTTTGCTTCTTATTTACTTCCTCCGTCAATTCTTGCTTTTTAAGAAGTTAAATAGTTTTAACTTTAACTAAATTTGTATAAAAAATTACTAACATTCATGATATAAAATAAATATCGTTAGATTCGTCATAGAATCTATTTTAACAATAAATTTGTTTGGAGATATAAATGCTAATAATATTTACTGTAAGGTTAGTTAAACATGAGCTACCTTAACTGATACGGTTCATATAATTACGTTCTTTTATGGAGGAAGGGATTAATAACGCTGGTCATCAAGTGGCAGGGGCGAGGGGGACAGTGCTGTGGCCCACATCGCAGTACCTCCACCAGAAAGCTTACCCTGGTCACTGACTATGGGCCCTCTGAAGATTTGCTGCCCTTGAAATTAAAAGCTAATCTAAACAGCACAGTCCTTGCGTACCAGCTTTAGGTACCTTGGAGGATTGGACAAACACAGAGCCCGCGTCACGCCTTTAGACGAGAAATCACGATACAAGGTACTGTAGCTATATAACCTTTCCCGTTACTGAGCCGGCGTCACGCCTTTGCAGAGCGACACTGTAGTCCAGTTCAAACTGTAGCAGCTCCTTTTCTTTTCTTTTTTTTACAGCGCACGGTGCACGCTGCCGTGAACGGGGAAAAGGCAGCTGCAGTAAAAGGCGCCGTTTGGGAGCAAGCGAGGGCAAAGCGCAGCGCAGGTGTAGTAAAACCGTAAAAAACCGACGCCAGGCGGGCAGGGCCAGGCTTTCCCTTTTTTTTTACTGCCACAGGCCACAGGCCACAAGTCACTGGCCAGAGGCTGACAAGCCCGCAGCGCGCGTGCCGGCTCCGCACTCCCGAGCGGGCCCCACAGGCGCCGCAACGCGCGGTGGCCCGCACGTCGGCGGCTGGCTGCAACGGAACGGGGGACCGTACGGGTACGGCCGAGCCCGCCCCGTGCAGGACAGGAGGAGGGCCGTCGTCGTTTACCTGCGACGCCACCGCCGTGCACCGGGTCCAGGCCCACCCGCCGCCAACGAACGAACGGCGCTCGCGGGACCACGGCTCGGCGCTGGAACGCTGCGCCCACGCGGCCCGCGACGGCGAGCAGGGGCAGCCCCGTCATTCCGCCGCTGATTTGAGCGCGGCCCCCACCCACCACCCGCGCGCTCCTCGATGCGCGCGTCCGCTTCCCGGCCGCGCGGGGCCCGCGCGCTCCCCCTCCCACCCGCCCACCCCACGTAGACCGGGCCTCTCGTACGCCCTGGCGGACCCCCACGGTCCCACCGTGTCCCCGTCGCCACGACGTGGGCCCCCGCGCTCTTCAATTCAATCAGCCGGGAAAGCGTAGCCGTAGCGCAATCACGCGCCGCCGCGCCCCCCCCGGGTCCCGCCCCGCCGGTGCACTGCACCGCGTGCACCGCCTCCGCGTCCCGTTGCGCGGCCAGGCCAACTCATCCGGCCCGGGCGCACGGCGCGGCCATCGTCTCTCTCCTCCTGTCCGACTCCGACCGCTCGTATCGTATATACAGTAGGCCGGCTGTTTCGGCAGTAGTGCTTGCCAGGCCACTGCTGCGAGCGAGCCTCAGCCAGCCCTGACCACCACCGTCTCTCCCTTCCCTCTTCTTCACCTCCGTTGCGAGCTGCGACTGTGCACACTGCCTACTGCTGCTGCTGCCGCTGTTCCACGTCTCTGTCTCCGCTTTAAGGCTGTCACCTTTCCCCATCCCCTACGCCCTCCTGCCCTCCCCCCCTCAAACTCTCAATCAACCACGACGCCACAACCGCACCCGCGAACCCTAGCTAGCACCGCGCGCCGGAGCCCGGAGTAGGTGCCTGCTTGCTCTCCTGCGGTGGCCGTCGCGCTGGCGTCCTCTGCCGTCGTCGCCTGATCCGATCCACCCAACCGTCGAGCGCCTCCGGCGATCGATGCGCATGCGAGGCGCCGCGGGAGGCGGCTCGGGCTCGGGCAGGCTGTGAGGAGGCTGTCCACTCGCTGCGTCGTGCGCCTGCGCGTCTGCTCCACCGTCCGCGCCGCGCCGTTCCTCGTCGAGGGGGCCTGCCTCTCACGGTCGGTCGGTCGACCTCGCCGCGCGTTTGCTTCCCACCAACGCAGGTCAGAGCTCCGCGCTCTAGGATCTAGCTCCATACCTACCTACCTTTGCTTCCCGCTTGCTTTTGCACGCAAAGGTCTTCTCTCTCCCTGCCTGTGCTTTGTGGATCTGTCCCGCTTTTGGTGTCTGCGCGTGTCCACTGATGCTGCCGATTTGATCGCTTCAGGTGTCTGCCATTTCCCGGAATCGTTTTGGTAGAATTTCGTCTTGTTTGTTTTGGCCAATACCCCCTCCCACCTGTTCTCGGAAGTCGTTCCCACGATTTTATCAGCTCAACCTGCACAATTTTGCTGTGTGCATCTCGAGTCTCGACCCCCGGCATTTGTACCTTTGCAGTGAAGTTTTGATGCCCAGGGCTGTCGTAGCAAAAATTCGGTGCCGTAGCTCATTGCAGCCCTCCATTTCCTTTGCCTCCCAGGGATCTTCGCGAGCTGGGAGTTGAAGCGCGAGCGGGGAGCTAAGAGCCGCAGTTGAAGGCGGAGAGAGGGCGACGAGATTTGTGTGGCTACGATTTTGCGTTGCTGAGGGAACAAGGGAGCAATGGCTGCCGCGGTGGCGATGCGAGGGGGAAGCAGTGACAGCGGAGGATTTGATAAGGTTCCCGGGATGGACTCGGGGAAATACGTGCGCTACACCCCGGAGCAAGTTGAGGTGCTCGAGCGGCTCTACATAGATTGCCCCAAGCCAAGCTCCTCACGGCGGCAGCAACTGCTGCGCGAGTGTCCTATACTCTCCAACATTGAGCCAAAGCAGATCAAGGTCTGGTTCCAGAACCGAAGGTAACCAAATCGAGCCACAGCCCGCTAGTTCTAGTGGAGAATGTGTTTCACGTTTGGATTAATGTGCCTGTCCCTTCTGTAGGTGCCGCGATAAGCAGCGGAAGGAGTCATCGCGGCTTCAAGCTGTGAACAGAAAGCTGACGGCAATGAACAAGCTTCTTATGGAAGAGAATGAGCGTCTTCAGAAGCAAGTTTCTCAGTTGGTTCATGAAAATGCACACATGCGGCAGCAGCTGCAGAATGTAAGTCTTCAATCAATGTGCTGGCCTTGTTCCTTACAAGTCATGCTATTTCTAAAAGTCATTTGCTGATGCCGTATTTGTACCATGTCTGTGAAGTGGAGTCCAGTTTCCTGCAGTATTTTGTACCTTATTAATGTTGTACTGTACTAGCATTGGATGACTTTCAAAAGTTGATAGTGCCAGCAAATTTATGCCAATGAGATGTTAAGTCCACATTATGCTGTTATTTGGGGCTGGTGCATGCAGCACCCACTGAAACCTGTTGTCCATGTGATGGTTGTGTTGAATCTATTTAATATTGACCCCTGGTATACCATAATACCTACCGGAGTATTCTATCCCTGCAATGTCCTGATATCATCTATTGATTGGGTACAGACTTCATTGGCCAATGATACAAGCTGTGAATCAAATGTCACTACCCCTCCAAACCCAATAAGGGATGCAAGTAACCCTTCTGGGTAAGTGAATCGTTCGTTCTGGCCATCTGGAGAAGGATTCTTGTTGCATAACCTTGCCATTTCAAGACTGTCCTAATCATAGTGCCATTTCAATTCTCGTTTCAGACTCCTTGCGATTGCAGAGGAGACCTTCACAGAGTTCCTCTCAAAGGCTACTGGGACAGCTATTGATTGGGTCCAGATGCCTGGGATGAAGGTTATATGTCAACTCTCAATTCTCGTTCTTTGGCTTAAGTTAAATCTCTCTCAGATAAGTACTAGGTGCTAACTAAATTCTGTTTTCTGATTAGCCTGGTCCGGATTCGGTTGGTATCGTGGCCATTTCGCATGGTTGCCGTGGCGTTGCTGCCCGCGCCTGTGGTTTGGTGAATCTAGAACCAACAAAAGTAAGTATTTAAATTGATTGGGACCTTGTGCTACCTTTAAGAATATCCCTCTCGTTTTCTTTGTTCTAGTCTGTACATTTGCAAGTGATCGTGTAACTTCTGGATATGATTAGACTCTTTTATATATCTAATTATTTATGACATACCTCCTTACATCTGAGCAATCTCGAACAAACTCATGGGTCATTTATATGATCTTACAAAGGCCCTTGGATATTTTCATATTTTGATACAAATTTTAGCATTTACTTTCAAGAAGTTATGTGATCCTGATATAGCTGTGTTATGCAGGTCATAGAGATCTTGAAAGATCGTCCCTCTTGGTTCCGTGATTGTCGAAGTCTTGAAGTGTTTACAATGTTTCCAGCTGGAAATGGGGGAACAGTTGAACTTATCTACATGCAGGTGGGCAATTTTATTTTGCTTCATTGGTGATGTTTCTTCAGCATTTCTGGTGAACTGCATGACTCATTATGTGGATGGTAATATTTGCATGTTCCTGCAGATGTATGCCCCAACAACTTTAGTCCCTGCACGTGATTTTTGGACGTTACGATACACGACAACAATGGAAGATGGTAGCCTTGTGGTATGTGATCTGAACTGCAGTCTTATTGCTTTTATCTTGATAACGGAGGAACCAGGACACTAGTATTTGCTAACCTTCCTCCATCTTCAAGGTCTGTGAGAGATCCTTGAGTGGTTCTGGAGGCGGTCCAAATACAGCCTCTGCACAGCAATTTGTTAGGGCTGAGATGCTTCCAAGTGGGTATTTAGTTCGCCCATGCGAAGGTGGAGGTTCGATTGTGCATATAGTGGACCATCTAGATCTCGAGGTCTGGTTCCCACTTTTTATTTTTATTTTAATCTTTTGATGCTGTTAGTCTGTATGTTGTCCATTAATGGTTGTATTGGGTTTCATCTTTCAGGCATGGAGTGTTCCTGAAGTGCTTCGACCGCTGTATGAGTCTTCTAGAGTAGTTGCTCAGAAAATGACTACTGTGGTACGTGCTTTTTTTTTGCCCCTATGGTTTTTTTAGTTTAAAACTTTAGATTTCTTTAATAAGGTCACTGATAATCAGTTTCTATTTATTCATGAATGAAAAGGTGTGTTATATGTTCAAAGTAATGACTGGCTGTAACTTGGTTGCATTTAGTTCTGCGGACGTGTTTGAATAGTTCATTCTTAGCACTATACTTCATGCTAGCTGCTCTGTGTATCCAGGCACTGCGCCACCTTAGACAAATTGCTCAAGAAACAAGTGGAGAAGTAGTGTACGCCTTGGGAAGGCAACCTGCAGTCCTACGGACCTTTAGTCAAAGACTAAGCAGGTATTTTTTTTATTGAACTTTAACCCCAACTCTCATGTACATTTTGTTATCTAGTTTAAAACATAAAAAATTCTTGTTCTTCCATTAGGGGGTTTAATGATGCCATTAGCGGTTTCAATGATGGTGGCTGGTCTGTAATGGGGGGAGATGGCATTGAAGACGTTGTTGTTGCTTGCAACTCAACCAAGAAAATTAGGAATAACAGCAATTCTGGGATTACATTTGGAGCCCCTGGAGGCATTATTTGTGCGAAGGCATCCATGTTACTGCAGGTAAGGGTGATCATTATTTGTGTGAAGGCATTACTTGTACAGTCTTTTCATATTTTATATTTAGAAATAAAGTGTGAAAGCAGGAACCGTTGCATATTGCATCGTGCACAAGTAAACAAATGAATTGCAGAGTTTTGTTACAAGTAAACAAATGAATTGCAGTGGGTGTGTGGTGTGAGTTGTAACAGGGCTCTTGCCCTACTTTCTTCTTCTTAATACAATGAAGCGCAGCTCTCCTGCGTTTTCGAGAAAAAAATTACATTGTACCTCTTAATCAAAAACATTATATCATCCTTGTTTGATTTGCACTTTAGTGAATACATTTCTGGCTGTGCACATTATTTCTGGTACCATCTATGCATTTAGAGCTATAGTAACTTCTGAATTTTGTCTTGGTTCTTGTACCACAATTAGTGTTAAGAAGAAGATTCTGCTTAAATAAATGCAGTGGTGGGTGGACATTCGACACTAGAAATTTTGAGTTTCACCCCTGTAAGGTGATTGGAAGAACTCCAGCCCAGTTTGAAAATAAAATAAGCTACTGTATAAGCGCTTTGAACATGATTTCTGAACCTAGCTTCCCCATATGCTATGCTTTTTTTAAACATGTTCCTTTATTGATATTCTAGAGCGTCCCACCGGCAGTACTGGTCCGATTTTTGAGGGAGCATAGATCTGAATGGGCCGATTACAATATTGATGCATTTTTGGCTTCATCACTGAAGACCAGTGTGTGCTCACTTCCTGGGTTGCGACCCATGAGAATTTCTGGGGGGCAGATGATCATGCCACTTGCTCACACAGTGGAGAACGAGGAGGTATGTGTGCAGTTATTTTGGTGGAAAGCCTGTGTCTTTGTGAAGCTAATTGATTTTGTTTCCATCATTAGCTCTGTTCTCACTGTTGACTTAGTTATATTAGATGTACCGTGTACCATGTGACTTATAATTACTGTCATTTACTGCTGAATAATTCGCAGATTCTTGAAGTTGTCCGCCTTGAAGGGCAGCCTCTTACTCATGATGAAGCTCTTCTTTCAAGGGACATCCACCTTCTCCAGGTAAATATTTGAGTTCCATCTATTCTTTTGTTTTCAAGTCCTGCATTGCCTCTCACTGAACCAAAAGGTAGCAAGATCAATGTCTTTTAATTAACAGGATGGTTATTCAATATCTCTTACGACGTAGTGGATTCTCAAAGTTACGCTTATAGGCTCTTTGACATTAAAATTGTCCTGTAAGCTCAGAAATGAGGCTTGTTGATATTTGGTTAATTGTCTCTTGTACTGTACACGAGATGAGATCTGGCTACTGATTTTGGTTTAACAACAAGCACATGTCTGTTTAGCGATACTAATTGGGGTCTTGAATAAAGAAATAGATCAAGGTTCTAAAAGAGAGTATCTTGAGCAATTCGTTTTAAGACCATGCATTGCTAATCATTCCTTTGTTTTAATTTTCAGCTTTGCTCTGGAATAGATGAGAAATCTGTGGGTTCCTCCTTCCAGCTTGTGTTTGCACCAATTGATGAGCATTTTCCGGATGATGCTCCATTGATTTCTTCTGGCTTTCGTGTCATACCACTTGATATGAAAACAGTTAAGCATTGCCAACAACATTACCTTTTCCTTTTTTTTCCTTGCTTGGGCAGCTGCTTCATTTCCTTGCCTATTATGTTTATAATTATCCTTAACATGTCACTTGATTTGGATCGAGAGTATAAGTGTTCATCTGACGCTTCACATTCTGTTAGAAACTTAGAATGATAGTTTGTTAGCCATATTATCATACATTCAGGACTTATGTTTGTTTCTTTTTCCAGCACTTTTACCCTTCTGAAATAATGCTCACATTTCTGCCATGGCCTACTGTATGGAGGATTGTGATATTTTTAACAAACATATTGCGTTCTGTTCTAGCTATCTATAATTTGTTACCTAGTCATTTGGCTGTCTGCTGCTAAAATACGTACTGTCGAATGCAGTTTCTGACCATTATATCTCATGCAGGATGGTGTATCCTCTGGTAGGACGCTAGATTTGGCATCTAGTCTTGATGTGCGTTCTGCTGCACCCCAAGCCTCAGGGGATGCATCTCCAGATGACTGTAATTTGAGATCTGTGCTGACAATCGCCTTTCAATTCCCTTATGAGATGCACCTTCAGGACAGCGTTGCAATTATGGCCCGTCAATATGTTCGCAGTGTTGTTTCTGCTGTGCAAAGAGTGTCAATGGCTATATCTCCCTCCCAATCTGGTCTAAGTGCTGGGCAGAGGATGCTTTCTGGCTTCCCTGAAGCTGCCACACTTGCTAGATGGGTTTGCCAGAGTTATCAGTAAGTGAACTTGTAATTTTCTTCCCGTGCTGTTTCTGATATCTCACCTTAATGGTTTGATTCTTTTTTTTTATTGTAATCTCATGGCTATTCTTTTGGGCCCCAATACAGCTACCATCTAGGTGTGGAATTACTTAATCAATCAGATGAAGCTGGTGAAGCATTGTTGAAAATGCTCTGGCATCATCCAGACGCTGTTCTGTGCTGCTCTTTTAAGGTATCAGAAGAGTTTTACTCAAGTGTGCAATATTCCGATCAGTTTAACATACTTCTAAAGTAGAGGCAGATCCCTCCGCCCATGTTAATGCTTTTGCAGTAAAATTTCCGTGCTGCCTTTTGTGCATAATAATAAATTATATATGGATTATGCATGAGAGCATATGTGCCTGCACCCTACTTCCTTGCTGATTGATGCAGTATACCTTTTTCTGTATTTCTTAATTTCATGCTGCACCTCCTATGAATGCTTTGGAATAACTTTTTTGCTATCATGTGAAAATCATCTATACTACTAGTGATTTTATTAGGTGTATAGTTTTTGATAATCATGCTGGGATCTCCTTTATTGTTTCAGGAGAAACCTATGTTTACGTTTGCAAACAAGGCAGGGCTTGACATGTTAGAAACATCTCTTATTGCCCTGCAAGACCTGACGCTAGACAAGATCTTCGACGAGTCAGGAAGGAACGCAATATTCTCAGATATCTCAAAACTAATGGAACAGGTTAGAAGTCAAAAGAACCATTCTTGAGACTGAATCTGAGATGTGCATACGTGCCCAACAGCTAACATTCGTCTTTGTTGTTTTAGGGCTACGCGTACCTGCCGTCGGGCGTGTGCATGTCAGGAATGGGTCGCCATGTTTCTTTCGACCAAGCTGTAGCGTGGAAGGTGCTCGGCGAGGACAGCAACGTCCACTGCCTGGCGTTCTGCTTTGTCAACTGGTCCTTCGTGTGACGCCAACCCGTCAGACGGGATGGCGAGCTGGTCGGTCTGTGTGATGAGCAGGCCCATTTTTGTATCATGATCCTGATCAGGAAAATCATCAGCTGTGACAAAAGGCTTATGTTGCATGCACTAGTTGTAGGTCTTGAATCCAGTGTATTTATGAAGAGACTGGAGATTATGCAAAGTCTTGCCCCACTTCCGTTTGACTACCCGGCCAAAGGCTGTTTGTCAATCTCGTTTGGCTTGGCAACCGAGACGATGCTGGCAGTTTTGGTTCGTCATTCCATTCAGATGTTACTGGCTGATGTTAAGGTCTGGATCAAGCCAGATCGCAACAAAAGCATGCTGTTCCCAAATAGTGCAATGGTAGGGATGCAAGGGGGCGCAGGTCGGCCTGCTGACCTGCTAGGCCTACCTGCAAAAATAGCTTTAGCAGGGCATCTGCGTTTGTGATGTGGGCTTTATGCAGATCAACCTGTAAGTCCTGCTGGGTATAAGCACTGAACCTACTACGCCTGCGAGTCCATCGTTTAGCCTGCAATTTCATCGTTCTTGTACCGCGATGCGCTCCACCTTGGCGGCGTTCCTCTTCGTCACCGCTGCGGGAACGGTGGCTCCACGTCCACGCTGGGCGTTGTGCTGCATCATCTCTTGCGGCTTGCCGTCTCCTGTCCCATCCCGTCCCCTCTGGCTCGGCCCAGCTGTAGTCTTTTGCCATCAAGCGCGGCCTTGCCGATGACATCTTCTCTGCTATTGTATTGCTCGATAGTCTTCTTCCCGGCACTCACGCGCTTGGACCTGCAGCTGCAGGTAGGCTGCCAGCAAAGTCGTCGTAGTTGGAGCATGACCTGCTCCAGGCCACCACCACCTTGCATGCGGGCTATGGCAGGCTTCCTCACGTCTTACCGCAAAGCGCAGCAGGAGCTGGCGGGTTCCTGCAGAACTTGCTATTTCTGCTGGCAGGTGATGCGGCGGCCTGCTGGGTGTCAGAAGAGAGGCCCGCTTGCATCCTTACGCAACGGTACACAATGGAGCAATCCTTACGCAATGGTACACAATGGAGCAATAGCGATGCACGCTACAGATTCATATTTGCTCAGCATTACCCAAACAACAGCGCCCCAGTTTCTATTCAATCAGAGAACTGCGGGGTAAAAGCCATGCCCAAATTTTCCGGCACTAGTTATTGGGCTGCCTTGAAAATTCTTTATCTTTTTGCTTTTGCAAAATTGGGTCTGTATAAGGAACTGCAGCTGGAACCGAGAAAACAAACATTTGCCGAAACTCACTCTGGCTCGAGGAAAATATATGCCGGCCTGGCCTACAGTGCCTTCAGAAAACATAATTATATTGCAGTAATGCTTTTGGAACCAGAAACACACTTGACGCAAAACTGAATGCTGACTGTCAGGTTTCGACCAGAATCCAGGTAAGAAACTGAAAACTGGAGCACATGTAAACGGATGAGGCATGTCAGAGTTCATAGATGAGCAGCTCTCTCGCATGTCTGACGGAAACACTTAAACCAACGACCCTTCACAACAATGGATACGAGACACAGCAAAATTATGATTCTTTCTTCTCTTCCGGTTCCGGTTCCGGTTCAGGCACCTTCTTCTCTTCCGCAGCCTCCTCAAATGTCTCTCCTGGGACAAGCTCAGGCACGTCGTCATCATCCTGTGCAGCTGCACCGGCGCCAGCTTCAGCACCAGGTACCTGCTTCTGGAAATGCTCAGCAAGCCTCTTAAGGTTTTCCAGGTTATCAGGGCCTGAAGAGGAAGTTAAGGTTAGGCAAGCAATAACAATTGTTGTTTCTCAGGAAGTAAGGCAAATAATCAGAGTGCAATCGACAAAACAATGTGAAAAGTGTCATACCCAGTTGGTTGATAATTGATGGCAGAAGGTCTTGCAGACCTGTTCAAATAAGAAAGCCAATGAGAAACCAGTTTCTTATCTTATATAAAAAAAAAAGGAGAGAAAGCAGTTACAGCATGTTGAGGAATTATAATGGAGTAACAAAATCATCTATGCCTCAAGTTGCATCAAACATGGTTGCTTTAGAAAAAGGGTTGTATACAACATAATTTAATTTAATGTTGCGAGGATCATGGAGAATATATAAAAGGAACTAACACGGTTGCATTTTGAGAACAGAAGCAATTCAAATTTACGCCATCAGTAATTAGCTGCAACCCTTGCATTTACAGCATGTCAAGAATAATTAAAGATACAAAGGTAAGCATGGTCCAGCATTTAACCATTGAATATCGACAAATACTATTTGCTTATGATGTGAGGAGAGGTAGAGGAAGACCGAAATTGACATGGGGGGAGGCAATAAAAAGAGATTTGAAAGCTTGGGATACCTAGAGATCTATGTTTGAATAGGAGTACTTGGAAAACAGCTATTGATATGCCTGAACCGTGACTTGCTTGGGACTGAAAGGCTATGTTGTTGTTGTTGTTGTTGTTGTACTATTTGCCTATGAGGCTACGGGTGAACAACAGACATAAGAACCAAGAATGCATGATAGAAAAGCAGCAAACCATGTATCAAGCATCAGCTAAGTATCTGTGCTACTGCATAAACAAAAAGGGTACTTGAGCAATGATCAGGCATGCACAGGTTGGTTGAAAAGTAAATGATCCACTCACTTTTTGTCTGGGGTACTCCACTGACTACCCATGTATTTGCAGGAATGGATGCTTGCACTGCAGGTAACAGAGAAAGATTGACAATGTTAGACGAAATCAATAATCTGCGGAGGTAACATATTCGCATGGCAAGATTTTACCTTTAGGGTTCTGAAATTGGATAACAACGTCATCCTTGAAGATGTTGACCTCCTCAATACCAGGAATAGTGTTCACTCCGATTCTTTTCAACGTGCTCTGAAGCCGCTTGTCATCAGTGGTTGTGGTCTTGTGAACTGCCTTCTTCTTCCTGTCAGCATTTTTTCCCTCATGAATTGTTAGCATGGGACTATGGGTCCAGAAGCAACTCTATGAACAGATCATATCACAAACACAAAAGGCTTAAGTGCTTAGATATCTGCAATTGGTATGTGAACAACTACAACAGGATGTGTTGGCACACAACTTGCCACAAAAAGACAGCATCTATGTCTTTTGCAGAACGGTATACATGTGGATGGCAAAGATGCTACTTAGCAAAAATTAAAGCTCCATACAGCCTAATTGCAATTTTGCACAATAGCACGTGCAAAACGTTTTTGCAAAACAGTATACATGTGGATGGCAAAGATGCTAGTTAGCAAAAATTAAAGCTCAATACAGCCTATCTGCCGTTTTGCACAATAGCATGCACAAAACGACAATCACAGTTTCATATTACCTTTTTCCAATCATCCGTTAACAAAAACACACAGTTTAATATTGCCTTTTTCTATCGTATGTTACCAAAAACTATGTGAACTGTAACGACACCAAGATACTTGTGATGATAAATATAGCAGAGCCATTCCCATGTGACGAATCTAAACGCTTTTATTGATGAGTAGGCTTGGATCAAGTAATGTACGAGAACTACATGGAAGGTAGAAGCACTAATAAGTGCTACCACCGCAGCACACGCGGAAGGCAAGAAGAGGACGCACCTGCGCATGCTGCCCTTTCCTCCAGTGCGCACAGCGCCCGCCATCTTCTTGAGCTTCTCCACATTCATCTGCGTGAGGACAAAAAAAAAGTCACGAACCGTGAGCAGGTGAGTCGAAGGAGCCACACACACACACACATACAGTATGTCCCTGGCGAGAACACAACCAGGCGAATCCAGACGGCACGAGTCCAGAAACCGAGTGGAGCGATCTCCAAATCGCACACCTGAGTACACCGAAACGGCAGAGACAGGCAGGGCGGGCTGCTAAACCGAATCTCACAAGCAAGCGGCCCCTCGGTGCTTGCGGGAGGGATAAATCTACTCTAGTTTAGGCCACGAAACAACGGGAGAAAGCGCAGCCCAGATTGAACGCGCAGCCAACACAACGGCGAACGGAGATACCGGTACAAAGCAATCGAGCAATGCATCTGGATCGACGGAACCTCGCTCGTATCAGCAGCGGGCCAACCCTACCCTAGCCTAGCAAACGAAGCAAAAGAAACCGCGGACCTCGCGAGGCAGCCAGCCCAGGGTACGCGGGGAGGAGAGAGGGGAGGGAAGGGCAGGCTCACCTTGGACAGACGCGGCGACCGGCGGCGGCGGGTGGAATGGGGGACGGGGGGAGACGGGAGGGGATTTCCTGAGCTCAGCAGGAAGCAGATAGAGATAGGGGGGAGTCGTCGGTCGTCGGGTCGGGAGGCCAACCACCAGCGAGCACGGGAAGGGGCTTTTCTTCCCCTCCGCTCCGCGTTGTTAGGGTTTTAGCTGCCGTGCAATCCAATCCTGGCCGTCCGACGCCGTCGCTGCTCGCTCGGATGCGGTCCGGGCGGCACGCCTGTACACCAAAGCATCAGCAGTTCAATAGAGAACGGATCAAATCACATTTGTCGTCGCCAATCTCAAGCCAAGGGCCTGTTTAGTTCCCCCAATTTTCAGAATTTGGCACTATGCAAAAAAAGATTCTCCGTCACATTAAACTTATGGTACATACATGGAGTACTAAATGTTGACGAAATCAAAAACTAATTGTATAGTTTGGTTGTACTTTACGAGACGAACGTTTTGAGTCTAATTAGTCAACGTTTGAATAATTATTACCAAATACAAACGAAATGCTACAGTAACTACTGTGGCTACAGTAGCTACGGCGGCGCCGATTGTGGCCTCAACTAAACGAGGCCCAAAGCGATTGATGCAGAGTACATGCATTGCACCCAGTTTTGTCGTAAGCGGCAATGGAGAAGCCGGAGCAAATTTTAAAAAAAACAGTACGTGTTTGTCTTATGGACGTAAAAACTTAATCAAATGTTTATATATACGGTATATGTGTAACCATAGTTACGTACTTTGGGCGTGTAAGGATGGCTTCCAAACCACACCGCGGGAGCCAAATGCCGCCGCCGCAGTTTGGCGCAATTTTAACGCGCGCCGCAGCCGGTAGTGCAAACCGCGTGCTGCAGCACGCCAATAATCGTTGAGCGGTCATTTTGTCTGTAATGTACGACACGTCGCGGGAGCCAAATGCCGCCGTTGTAGTTTGGCGTAGTTTTGGCACGCGCCGTAGCCGGTAGTGCAAATTGCGCGCCGCAGCATGCCAATAATCGTTGGCGCAACCATTTTGTCCGTAATGTGCGGTGCGCCGCGGGAGCCAAATGTCGCCGCCGCAGTTTGGCGCAGTTTTTGCGCGCGGCGTAGCCCGTAGTGCAAATCGCGCGCCGCAGCATGCCAATAATCGTTGGCGCGGACGTTTTTGTCCGTAATGTGCGGCGCGCCGTGGGAGCCAAATGCTGCCGCCGCAGTTTGGCGCAATGTTTGCGCGCACCGCAGCTGGTAGTGCAAATCGCGTGGCGCAGCATGCCAATAATCGTTGGACGACCGTTTTGTCAGTCGCGCTTGCGGCATGGCAACAGCTGCGCGCGGCAGCCAAACATGCCCTTACCTCCACCTATGATACTAGCAAACCAAAGTAGAGCATGTCTGGTTGGTTGCACGGGAGACTTGACATGAACAAAACCAAAAAAATCTTGGAAACAAAGAAGCTCTTGGGCGATGCACACTTGTGAAAGATTGAGAGTGTAGAATGTGGATTCTTACATATGCTAGGAAGTTTAGAGCTCTAATCCCCTAACACTGGTACAATTATCGTCACTGGGGGGTTGTCATGCTCTTCTCTCTATTTAGTGTAATTAGCACTTTTCTCAAATTGGTCCGTAAAAGAAAACTAACACATTCATCAATCCTAAACTTGTTCGCATCGGAGGAGGTGAACCAAGTGCTAACAATAATACGAGAGACAACAATTCACTACAAAAGCATCATTTGTCGTCTTTTGGAATAGGCTCAAACACAGGTGTGACCTTTTCTTCTTTTGTCACACCATGTCACCACCGGGCACATGGTCGTCAATTCGACACGCAACCTCTTCGTTGGCCTATTTTTTTATTTTTTTTGCCATGGCAAAAATAGGACAACATTTAGGACAAAAAGAAAAAAAGACACGTCCATATATATAACAATAAATACACGCAACAAAATGAAATACCAATGAATCGTGATGAGCACAATATCGCTATCGGATTTTCTCTAGGTCTTGTTCATCTAGTGGATTCATGATATGGGAATGAAAGATGTCAGACCAATGCAGGGAGGGAGTGTAATTGCTTTCAAAAAGGGAAATTATATATAGGGAGGCTAATCCATGAAGAAAATGGAAACTTTGCCACTAATGTTAACCCCCGACCCCCACATAAATAATGAACCTCACGGTAGTATGCACATGCACATGATAAAAAGTGTTGAACACAAGTTCGGAAGGCTCTAAAACTAATGCATCGCTTTACAAATCATGCGTTTCTTGTTTTAAGGTTATCTTCTACTTCATTCATCTCAAGTTATAAGACGTTTTAATTTTTCTAGATATATTATGTTTATTATGTATCTCTACGTAGTGTATATTTAAGCACATAACAAAATATGTACGTATTTAGAAAAACCAAAATGTCTTTATAATTTATAATGGGGCAGTATCTTTTACTCCATCCGTCCCAAATTATAAGTCATTTCAAATTTTTTAAAGAGTCAAAACATCTAAAGTTTGACAAAATTTATAGGATAAGATCATAATATTTATGATACTAACTAAGTATCTTTAGATTTTTCATTAATTATATTCTCACAGTGATACCTATTTGATGTCATAAATTTTTGTAATTTTTCTATAACTTTGGTTAAATTTGATATACTCTGACTCTCCAAAATTCTTAGAATAACTTATGATTCGGTACGGTGGGAGTACATAAAAACATAATTATCCCGAAGAAACTTCTAGTACTCCTGGAATCTATGAGCATGGTAAAAGTAACAAGATGTCAAAGAAAAGATAAATAAATTACGTCTTATTCTTCAGTATTATTTTAGCAGTACTTTTCAGCGAAGAAACAATGTTTTCATTTCATAATAAATCAGCATAAGCATCAGCATCAGCTAAATTTCAGCGAAACGAACGGGCTTTCACCCTGTTCGCTTAATCGTTTTTATGGCTTTATAAGCCGATTAATGTTGTTTTGTTGTGAGAGAAAAATACTATATCATAGCTGATAAGTATAGCTGATACGATCGAGCAATAGTCGTGGACTATCCACACGTGCAAGTCTGCTCGAGCTCAAACACGTATAGACTCGGAGCAAAGTTGCACTACTAAATAACAGACTTTAGAACGATATCTCAATTTGGCATTAGTCTCGGCATTTTTTGCCTCTGGGACTAAAGGTTTCTTTAGTCTCGGTTGGTAATACCAACCGGGACTAAAGGTTCCTTTACTCCCGGTTGGAACCACCAACTGGGACTAAAAGTCCTTCAACCTTTAGTCCCGGTTGATGTTGGGTTAGTTCAAAAGGAAAGCATCCCATCCATTGTTAGATGTGTTGTGTAGGTGGGGTGGTAAGCTTGCGCGAAGCAGTGCATGAGATCTCGGGTTCGAATCTCATATGGCGCAGCGGTGGGAAGCATTATTTTTTTTAAGCTGGGAGGATCTTTAGTCCCGGTTGTGGCAAACCGGGACTAAAGAACACCACCTTCTAGTCCCAGTTGGAAAACCGGGACTAAAACCAGTTTCCAACCGGAACTAGATGTCAGTTCTGTAGTAGTGTTGGTCGTACATATCAGTCTCGGCTCATTGCGTTTTCTCAATAAGCTGAGCTAGTGTTTCAGCCAGCTGGAGCTAGATCGCGAGCTTAACAAGCTAAGTGCAATCATGACCAAACTGTAATCACCGGGATAGGACGTGCCTAATAAGTACAAAGCACCATGCAAAATGACATCGCTAAGACTGTCTCCAGCAGTGCCGACCCAAACACATGACCTATTTTACTGTTTGGGTCACGCACAGTGAAAGGCAAAGGCAACAAAAAAACGACCAACTCCAACAGCGAACGCAAAAAAGAGAGAGAGCCCGCCCACCGCCCGCCTCCACGCTGGCCTCCTCCTCGCTCGCCACCATGCCGGATCTGGCCGAGGAAGGAGGGATCCGGCCGCACGCCGTCGCATATGCCTCGATCCGCCTAAATCTGCCTCAACCGCCAGGACCGGGCCGCGCCCGCACCCGCGCTCGACGGAGCTGGGGGTGGTGCCGCGAAGCCGCGTGAAGGGGCTGCGCGCGCGATCGCCGGATCTGGGTCTGGGGCAGCGCTCGCGCACACCAGAGTCGGAGGGGAAGAAGCGCCACCGGAGGAAGCCACTGGATTGGATCTCGCGCCAGCGGCCGGTCATGGAGATGAGAAAGAAGCGCCACTAGCCATGGAGGAGCGGAGCTCGCGCTCGTGGCAGCCCTATTTCTCACGCGTGCGAAGGCGGAGGTGCGCGAGGCGACGCAGTTTTGGCTGCCCTCTCACCGTGGATGCAAAATAGATAGTCCGTTTGCGTAGTCCGCGTAGTCCGTTGGAGGGTTGTTTTTACTATGAACGATGCATTTTGGGTATGGGTCACGTAATGCATCGTCCGTTGGAGACAGGCTAACCTACAAGCCAAGCTCCTCCCCGGCACGCAAACACGGTGTGGATGTGCAGCTGACGCGTGAACCATAGAGCATATAAGGCATTGTTTAGTTCTAAAAGTTTTACAAAAAGTGCTACAGTAGCTATCACATCGAATTTTGCGATATGTGCATGGAGCATTAAATGTAGACGGAAAAAAACCAATTGCACAGTTTGGTGGGAAATCGCGAGACGAACGTTTTGAGCCTAATTAGTCCATGATTGAACACTAATTGCCAAATAAAAACGAAAATGATATAGTAACAAAAAATTCAAATTTCACGGAAATAAACAGGGCCTAATACGGTTAAAATGAAACGGTGGCCCACGTGTCAGCCGTGCAGTCCGCACCACGTGGACTGTCCTCACCGAATCCTTTTCCCACCAGGTACGTCCGTACGTCGAGCTTGCGAGCTGAAGCTTTTTCACGAGCCGACACGAGCTTCATTTTTTGCTTTTTTACAGCCGAGCCGAGCCGAGCCGAGCATCCACCCGGTCGCGCCGGCGCCGCGCAGATCCGCCCGCGCCCGTGGGCACGCCTGGTTAAACTCCCGGCGACGGCGACGGGCCAGCAAGGACGCAGCCGGGATTGGACCCCATCGACGGGGGCAGCCCGCAGCCCATCGGTTTCGCCGACCGGCGCCTCGTTCGTATCGACTCGACTTGGACCCCCTCCGACGCACGCACCTGCAGGCCGCCGACGCACGCTATAAACAAGACTGACTCGTGGATGCGCCACCGCCTGCTCCGCCGCGCGATGCCGCTCCCGCCGCCGCCATCCCCGTCTCCTGCTCCCCGGACGCCGGGGATCGCCGGCGGACGCCTCTTCGCTTCGCTCCCGCCGCCGCCGCCGCTCCGGTCTCGGAGGTACCTGACCGCCCACACTCTTCCATCCGTCCGTAGCTTCTCTCATCCTGTGATTGTTTGGCACAGCAACGGTTTCGATGTTCAGGGGTAGGCATGGGAATGGAGAAATAGGCTGAGATGTCTCGTGGGGTTGTTAGGGGTCTGGATTCAGGCAGACAGGCACTATTCTTTCGTAGAGGCTGCAACAGGTGCTGTGATCCACGGAGTAGGGGAATTCCTCGTTGGTCCGAAATAGGCCACAAGTTCCACCCCTGTCCATTTTGGTCTGATTTTGAGATGAACCATTTGATGGTTCAGTGTTGCCACTGGTGGATTCTGAGTTTGTTTCCAGCTCCCAGAATCCGCCTTGGTTTGCTGAGTTATCGCCCTTGCCTTTTGCCAGTGCAAGCCGTTTGGCTTCTGCAGTTTGCTGCCAGGATGAATGTGAATATTTTGCTTCGTAGCATTGACATTTGGAAGCCGGTATACAGTTGGCATTGTTACAAAAGGGTAATTTGATGATGCCAAATGACTAAAGCTGAGTCTTCAGAACTCTTTCTAGTCTTTCCCTTCGAAACAGCTTTCAGACTAATGGACTAGAACCATCTCATGATTTCCACCTGACTGTTTGTTATGTTCTCTTTTTTTCTTCTGCATTGTTGTCCCTCCTGTAATTAGCTGGAGCATGCTTAGTCGATGCCACGATAGCTGGAGTATACCTCAATAGTCTTATTATGTCTCGCAGGATGAAAAAACGAACTGGAACCGAGACAATTCAAAGTAATTAAGTATGCTGTGGCTAATGATTAACAAAACATCATGTATGATAAGGGTCCTGTAACTTAGAACCTTCTGCATCTTGGATTATGCACATTTCTCCATCAAACTATGGTGCTAACTAGTAAGATAAACAATGCGCCTGCCTTTTCAAGATCAAATGACACCAAAACTACACAATTTTTGGCACAAATAAACGCAAGAAATTAGTTAGAGATGGTATTGGTTGAAGTTTTTCTCCGAGTTGGGCTAAATGCTGGAATTTACATGAATATAATTCATGCGCTTTGCACTTGAAAACAGTTAATTATCCTTTTCTTGTAATTGTGATGTGGCGCATCAAGGCATCGAGTACACTAATTGTGACTTAATTTGTCGCAGAGAGGTGCATGTTTGGTATCTTTTGCCTGATGAGTTGAATGATGCCTCCCTACTGAAGATGTACACGGAGCTCCTTTCCCCTTCTGAAAGGAAGACTGCTTTGTCTATGAATGGGGAAAAGTTGCAGAAAGGTGCTGTGCTGTCCCGTGCACTGGTGCGCACTACCCTCTCGAGATGTACGAAACAATCTACCACTTATTGGATTTAATGTTGCATCTCATTTTTATTTTCATGTGTGATACTATCATTTAGTAATTGTTATGTAGTTTTGCTATCATGGTTTCTTAAAGTATTAAATAAACTACTAGATTTACTGTATATCAGTTTTAATCAAAGGATATACAATTTTGCCCATGGTAGTGGTACCAGTGTTCAGTAAATCTTGGGCTATGTTGTTGTGAACTTGTTATTCATAACGACATGGAAAACAATCTGTCTTTGGGGTGTGTGTGTGTGTGGTGATTGGGGGTTAGGGGGGGGTTAGGGGGTGCATTATTACTTGATGCATGCTAAGTTTGGCTTCTATATGGTACCTTTATTTGCTCATTTATCTTTATTGTATATACATGCAACAACAACAAAGCCTTTAAGTCCCAAACAAGTTGGGGTAGGCTAGAGTTGAAACCCAGCAGAAGCCATCAAGGTTCAGGCACGTGAATAGCCGTTTTTCCAAGCACTCCTATCTAAGGCTAAGTCTTTGGGTATATTCCATCCTTTCAAGTCTCCTTTTATTGCCTCTACCCAAGTCAACTTCGGTCTTCCTCTGCCTCTCTTCACGTTACTATCTTGTATACATGCAACTCATGATAAACCATTTACAAAAAATTGGATTGATCATGAATGGTTCATGTCTCTAGTAACAGTGTAGGAGGTACTATCATATTCCCATTCTTTTGATACATATTCCTGAAAGGAAAAAAGTCCAAATTACTCCCTCCGCACAGGAAAGTTGTCCGGATCTCCCCCCCCTCTACCCCTCTGGGCACTTCAGTTGGTTCAGTCCACCCCTTAATAAGATTTGTACTTCTTGTTTCTCCATGTGCAATTTGAGTTTTAAGTTCAAATTTGTAGAGTGATAGAGAACATCATAACTTATATTAGAAAAAAATAAACTTAAAAATCAACTTATACATGGAGGTACAAAAAAGACAAATCTTATTAAGGGGTGGATTTGACCAACTGAAATATATGGAGGGTCACTTGAACACAAAATTAGTTTAGGAGGTTATCTGGACAATGTTCCTGTGCGGGGGGAGAAATGCAAATTTCACTGGTTCTCTAATTCATATACCAACTTTCCAGAATAATACAAAGAATGCAGTGCATCAAATTAGCAGCCCTAAAAATAGTGGAATGAGTACTACCATTCTGCCATTAAACCTGCCTCATGGAAGTTTAAATGCACTAAGTGTTTGAGCTTGGCACTTTACCTTATTAGTAGTATAGTCTTGTTACTATTGTTTTGTATATGTTGTATATCACTATAGGATTACTGATATGGTTGCTGCTGATTTGTTTTGACTAGACTAGATACAGATTGCAAAGTCGATCCAAGATCATTTGAGTTTAAGAAAAACAAGTTTGGCAAACCTGAGGTAAGAGATTAGAAGCTAAGCTTTACAGTACACTTTTTCTGCAGTTTTAAGCCCAAGTTGCTTTTGTTTGCTGCCATGCTTAAACAGATACTGTGGCGATCTGATGACAGCAGGATGGAACGGCCTTTGCATTTCAATATTTCACACACATCTTCTTTGATTGCCTGTGGCATAACCATGGATACTTCTGTATGTTCCTTTTGATTATTGGCTTCTGAATTAGAGAACCAGAAATATCCATACTTCTGTTGCTGTGGAACTTATGCAATCAATATTACTGTTTTTTTGTCTATCTCAGATTGGCATTGACGTTGAAGACAAGAAACGAAAGACAACCAAGAATATTTTATCTCTTGCTCGCCGTTATTTCACCCCATCTGAAATTGATTATCTAGCTAAAATTCCAGATCCTGATGGTCAGCAAAAGGAGTTCATAAAACTATGGACTCTTAAAGTTAGTGGACTTTCTTAAGCAATTGATTTGTGTTTTTTGTATTACCATTATTCAGAACACTGATCAGTAGTACTTTTCTTATGCAAAGTTTAAGATTCTTAGCTGAACTAGTCACCTACCACTTAAGCGTACTAGGACCAAGGAGACATGAGGGTAGCACGGAAGGGCATTTCATGAGTTATTTATGAAGGATCACACCTTATCATACACCTCTGATCTAATTCATTTAAATCCTCATCGGATTTCTTAGTCAACATTTCCTTCCTAAATCAGAGACTTACAAGTTGCAATAACAATTTTGCTTACATGTATCATTGGTGTCTTTAATTTTGTAGGAAGCATATGTAAAAGCTCTTGGAAGGGGGTTTTCAGGCGCTCCTTTCAACAAATTCTCGATCATATTGGCAGCAAATAACAGAATCCAAATTTCTGTGGTATGCTGTTTTCCCTCTTTGCACTCATGCTTGTCATCTTTGATGTGTGCCACATGCAAGGGGACTCTCCAAAACTATTTGCTATGCATATTAACATAATTCGCAGCCAAAACTATATTTCTTGTGGGCCTTCAGGAAGAGTGCTACCATGTCAGCATGGGGATTTAGGGGGGGGGTCTCAAGGTTTTAAGGGTTTGCTAAGATAGGCTATATAATTTCCAACATTTGAGGTACATAGGGATTAGAAATCTAGTATAAACGAATATTGTTTACCTTTGGTCTGAAGGGGATTCTTATACTACTTGCATGAATTTAGGGAATTGATCAGTGTAATTTTCGGTGGACTGGTCCCCAAGTACTAACAAATTTCTATGGATTCCTTTTTACTCTTGGTCACACACTGAAAAACCTCTTCTCTGGATCCTTTGTGTATGCTTGTCTTTTTCCTGACTGTTGGTTGGTGTTGTAAACTTTTTCGAAGCAAAAGTATCATGTTCTTATGTAGCCACACTTACAAGCTCAACTGCTCCAAAAACACAACTTAATTATGTCTTGTTGCCTGAGAAAGCAAGAAAAATTCTGATTTGTCTTCAATCCTTTGGAGTTTCCAGGCACCAAAAGTATCCAACGGTTCTGACTCTAGCTGTGACTGTCTGTCTGAGAATTGGCAATTTGCACTTGCTGAGCTAAATAGCTCTCATTGCATGGCAATCTGTATAGAGGATGACTCAACAAGTTCAGGTTTGTAATTGGAATATTTCATTTTGCAGAGAAATTGCCCTGTCATCCTGTTCTTTCAGTCACACATTGTTTACATGTTGCAGATTCGGAAAATGGTAGACTGCCACTAGGATTGAAAGTATGGAAGACCATTCCATTCGTTGAAGATATACTTGTTTCAGGAACAGAAGCTGTAAAACTTGTCAGCTGAGTATGTGAGAGGATCTGCTATTTGGTCTAATGATTTCACCAGATGACATTGTGATACAACGAATATATTTGGACAAAGTATGCAGGGAGACTGAACATTCTTCGAGCACTGATCAACTGACCACTGACATTGTGCTGTACTTAAGACTTTGGGAAATGCAACGACATACACTTCGGAGTTCTGATATTCATGTAAGCTTACCACGACACTGTTTCGAAAGGAATAAACAGTTTTTTTTTTGTGTGTGGCAATTTTAGACGAATTTTCTACGAAATGCTTTGATCTGAACGTCTGACGCTTTTCTAGAGTATCGGACAGATACACAGACGTTAATCCTCGTGTACTCTCATTGAATTGATATCACCTGACCATTCTTATCCACTTAATTCATCATCCTGTGCGGGGCTCGCATATCTTCCTCTCAGCTATCCTTTCCCCTTCGTCTTCCAGAGAACGAAAAGCGCCGCTCGCTTCTCCATCGCAGGGGCCGCTCGTTGCAGCCTTCTCCAGCGCGGCGGCTCCGCACCCTGTGTTGCGCCACCATCCAGCGCCACACCCCCATCCACCTCACCCCGCGCGGAAGGGGAGGCCCGCGCCTGTGCTCCTATCCATCTCGCGTCGTCAACAGGAAGTGGAGGCCTACGCCACAGCAGTTCTCCCTCACATGTAGGCCGTGGCCGCTGGCGATGCTGTGTTTCAAAGTGTTTCAGACGCTTTCAGACATGTTGCAAATATATGTTTTAAGTATTTCATACGAATATTACAAAAGTAGATCAGAGTGCATATTTTGCAATAGTTGTACACATACGTTGCAAGCGTCTGTTTTCAATGTTTCATCTGTTTTTCAAACGTACATTATAAGCGTGTTTATTTGGATATTACATATGTTTCATATATATGTTTTAAGTGTTTTATCTCGATGTTGTGTATGTTTGCAATGATTTTCAAGTGTTTTTAGGTGTTTTTGCAAGTGTTTCGTACGCATGTTTAAGTGTTTCATTTATCTTTTTTTGTACGTTACAAATGTTGTATGTAAGTGTTTTAAAAGTAGATCGGGTGTTACGTGTGGAAAGCGGGAGAGGACGCAGGCGGTCCTCACGCGTGGTCTAGCGACGTGGGCGACGTCCGAGACGGTGTGGGCCCGCTGTTGGGGTGCTCGTTCGGAAGTCCGACGCTACAGGGGTACTCACTCGCTTGCTACGTGGACATCGTCCAAAGCTAACGTTCCGGATCGAACCTTAGGACGCTAGCGAGCCCGTATTTTCTACTCATTGCTCCGTGACGTCGGCGTCATCTGACGGATGACCCGAAGAAACATTAATGTTTGTGTATACTTGTGTCGGTGGCATTGGAATTCGCTATGTATCGTTCTTGATGTTGTGTTTCAATGCGATTCAAAGCTGCATATGTTTGTCATAGTGGTCAGAATATGGGCGTTTCGTTTGCTCGGTCGTAAACGATCGTAAATTTTTAACTAGAATAATATTTTTCTCTTACATCAAATCAGCCAACAGTAATAATCCACGATCGTACGATCGTATCAACACTCAGCCGAATAGGCTGATGCTGTGTGGAACATGATTATAATTAGAATAATACTATTTTATGTTTCTCTACACCGCGGAATAATAAAAGATCGTTACTGAAAGAATATGCTGTGTGTTGGATACGTGTAGTATTCTGAACCTACTTTATTTCCTGTGTATGTATATTAATATTAAGAATAGAAAGGGGGTGAGAACAACGTATCCAAAAGATGCATGGGAATAATCCGCCGGATTTAGTCGTACAGGCAAAAAAAAAAATACTAAACTATCTCAAAATGAAAAACCCAAAGCTAGTCCTCACATCACATAGCAAAGCAAATTCAACACAACAAGCTAATCCCAGTCAGTTCAGATCTCAAAAGCAAAAGAAAAATCTCAATCATACAAGAAGGCCACTGGAACTCTGGAAGAAAGGGAAAACAAAATTGTCACTACATACTAGCACAAACCATGAACAGTAGTAACAGGGAAGAGGGTGTTTGTTTCTTTAGTCGCTCCTAAAATTCATATCACATCGAATGTTTAAATATTAATAAAAAGCATTAAATATAGATTAATTATAAAAACCAATTACATAGATGGAGGCTAATTTGTGAGACGATTTTTAAAGCCTAATTAATTTGTCATTAGCACATGTTACTGTAGCACCACGTTGTCAAATCATGAACTAATTAGGCTTAAAAGATTCGTCTCGTAAATTAGTCGTAAGTTGTGTAATTAGTTTCTATATTTAATAATTAATATGTATCTATATTTAATTTTACTCCATGCAGCTTGTTGGTTTGAGTTAGAGTTTATACCGACCAACAATATTTTTCTCTTATAATCGAAGCGATGTGAACAATTCTTTGGGAATTTGTCTGCGTCAAGATGGCAGCGGCAGTGATTTGCATTCGCACTCCGCTTGATTAAAATCTTGCAGGTCGGGTTACCGTACCCATGGTGGTGAAAATTCATTCCATACCAAGACGGGTAGGTTTTCTTACCGAGCGGGTAATTCTTCAAAATATAATAGCTTCCAACAAAACAAATCAACAATAAAGCGACAAAGAAATAAATATGGTTTGGTGGAGTGGGTGAGTATGAGGATTAGGGTTTGAGGGAGTTACGGAATATATATACTCATATGCTTATATGGGCCAAATATGTGCTATATATGTTCAATAAATCATGTTGGATATTAATATGCGGGGTTTTTATCAGTCCGAAAACGATCAGTGAACATGCAGATTGCTGGGAGTCGTCCCTGTCCTGCGCCGTGTCACCTGCAACCTGTTGGCGCACAAGCGCAGAGCCGCAGACGCTTGGCCATCAAAACAGACGACCGTCGGCGCGGCGCCGTCTCATTTCGCACAAAACCATCTGATTTCTTACTTCGACAATACTACCGTCCCCACGTCTAGACAGACACCCGCGTTCGGACGCCAGCGCCAGCTGCACGCGTAGAGGGCCCCGCCACGCCACTACCTTACACCTCCCTGCTTCTAGCGCGCCTCCACGTCTACTGCGCCGTTCCTCCACTACACACCGCCACACTTCAGCTGCGCCTCCCACATCTCTGCGCGGCCTCTCCAGCCAGGCACACAGGCGATAGGTGATTTATGGGTGGCTCATATTGTAATATGCATAACACCTCGGTCTATTTTTGAAACATCCAAATTTACAACATACGTACGAAACAACGAAAACATTCGAAACATGCGTCACAAACATATACAAAAACACATGAAAAATAATTGCAAACATATACAACTATAGATAAAAACTTGCAACATATATGTGAAACATATGCAACATCTACATAATTGCAACATCGTCGGAAAAAAAACAGATGGAACATTAGAAACAGACACTTGCAATATTAGTATAAAATCATTGCAACATAAGCAACATCCCAATCTATTTTTGCAATCTCCGCATGAAACACTTGAAACATACATACAAAAACATCTGGAACACTTAAAACATGCTTTGCAACATGGGGGAGCCCGGGGCCGGGCGATTCTAGCCGGCGGGGTCGAGAGCCAGCGCAGCGTGAGCACCACCACCACCACCATCGCTAACAGCACCGGACTTGGCTCGGTCGGGTGGATGGCGCGTCTTGTGACGGGCGGGAGCGAAGCGCCGCAGATGGGATGATGGCGCGGGGGATGGCGGGATGGGATGGTATGTGATGTCTGTCCGGACGAGAAGGCCGTGGCTGGAGAAGGCCAACGGTAGGCGAGCAAGCAGGCAGTGGATACACCCGCGACGGCCGCATGCATGCGGCAATGGGGAAAGAAAATGTCGCTGTGTTTTTTTAGAAACTGTGTCATTCTGAAGGTGGAGCGGAGATGGCTTGTTGGGCCCGATCATTGGGCAGGCCCGAGAACGAGCCATCTGGACAGAGTTTGCGTGGACGGATGCATGTGTGTTAGCATTATCGTTCTTATTTTACAAGTAGATAAATAAAACCATGTAAACAAGAGAGATTTTTGCCTGATGTTTGATTCAGAGTCATGGAACCTTTCTTTTGCATTTTCCCCACCATTTCTTTTATTGCAACACAAAGCCTATCTTAGTTATTAAATTAAAACTTACTTTGTCGAAAGATAAAGATTCAGACTGAATCAATTTACAATTGAACTTTAGGACTTAATGAAGCTTAAAACTTGCATATATTTCGGTTTCTGAACCCTGCAACTCATTATGCCCCCTTTTCTGATGCCTTCAAGATGTCGATACGTTTCAGTTCTAACAGCTCTGGACACCCTGAAACGATAACCCGACAGATTTCAACCACCCTAGACCTCCAACATGCACAAAGAATTTCTAAGGCAAAAATGCTTGCCAATGATAAATGTCAGATGGCGGATCACGTGATCATGGGGTGCCCGTTCGCGTTCGCGAAGGAATTCCGGGCAAAAATTGGTTTCCATCTACCTCTGATCAGCACTGGCGTGCCGGGTGAGGTACACAACATCCAGCGCCCAGCTATCGTCCCCCAGAAGCACTTCAGTACCTTCGTTGCTCTCTGTTGTTGGCAACTATGGAAGCGCAGGAATGGGGTAGTTTTCTGGTCAGAAAGAGCAAACCACCGTCAGATGCTAGCAGCATGCATAACCGATGCAAAGCTATGGAAGGGTCTGGGTTGATGTTTTTAGAAACCCTATGTAATCTACATTGGATCGAAAGAGATCAAATGATGTAATGTCATGAACTATGTTTGCCTGCGGGCACTAATTAATCAATATACATAACATATACAGGTGGGGATCCTCCCCCTCCCCCTGAACTTTTAAAAAACAACTATTGTGCAGAATAATCGTGTTCACCCTGAGAATATTGCTAACCGGCTAACATAGTCTTTCACAAGACATTGTTTTAGAATATAAGGACTAGCTCAGGTTACATCTCCAATTCCCAGTCTTCCCGAACAGCCGGACACTCTGATTGATACCAGGCAGACATTCTAGGCAAAGGCCTTTCAGACGAAGACATCCTTCAGATTTGAAAACTTAATATGCCAAGCCAATATACCCATTGACTACCTGCAAATTGTAATTAGTTTCCCAGCCTAAGCACAAAAAAACATTATCAAATTATCCAATCAGGATAGTTTATGGTTTTTGGTCTTGGCACAGTTAGGTGTTCATTCTTAAGAGTGACGGGAACAATTTATGTATTCATCATCTCAAGCAAGAACCCAAGGAAAACAAAACTTGAATACACCAGAAAAAAAGTGTTTCGTAATATTTTACACGGTCATCCGTGAAAAAAATATTTCACACTGCACTTTTTCAATTAACATTGTTGGTTTTTCTTGCCAAAAGAATGAACCTGGCAATGACCTAACGTACAGAAATGTGCATCCATATTGTTCAAGGACTAATCTTATTTTATTCTCCCTGAATAACAAAATAGTGAATAAATTCTCCACTACTTACTGTTCAAACTCTGAAAATAAAGCAAATACCAATCCAGAGCCCAATACATACCTGGAAGGCGACAATTTCCAAATTAAGGAAACTAAAAAAATTCTCTAATGGCGCTTTATTTCATCCAGAACGTTGCCCACACTGGGTGATAATCTTGGAAGATATTTGTATACCTGCAACATAGAAAAATAAACTAAGTATCTTGATCTTATTCAGATTACAATGTGAATTTCTAAACTCATATAAACTAATAATACCAGGAACACCGAACAATGTTTTACACCCATAAAAGCTGTAGCTAATAAAATCAAGCAGTCAATAGAAAATTGGATTTTGTTTCCAACAAAAAAGAAAGTTGCAACTTGCTCCTCTAAAAAAGGTGACTAAATGGTAGTACTGGAGTTGCTAAGATGCGTATTGAGAACATATAAAATGGTGAGATAGGACCATAGGACAGAAAATTTCTTACAAAATTAAGAGGTTCCTCAAAAAAGCTATGCTACTTAACTTTTAAAAACTATTTTTTATCCCTGTTAATTAGACGAAAAAGGCATACCCAAAACTTTATGTACACATCCAAAGCAACTGGAAACAGAGAAACAAAAAATGTGACCGCCGCTTCATCAGCTTCAAGCCCGTAATGCTCGAGAATAACTTCTACCAATGTATGCCAACCTGACTCTGAATGGTACCTGCAAAAATGCAGCTAGTGGATTTTATAAAGTGGATAAAAAATCATTGTCTATAAACAATAGTTAACAACAAAAGAAGATGCACAAATAAAACGTTGTCTTAAATGAAAAGGGAATCAAACAGAAAACATCAGGGCTATTTCTTAGTTGCTTGAAGGGGCAATGTGTATCCCAAAAGAAGAACACAAGACTGAGACATTTAAATTGTCTTATATGGATGTTGAGCTTTTGTACAGAGCAATTTAACTGAACTGAGCCGCCCCCCCCCCAAAGCACCCAAAAAAACTAGTGATTAGCTTCTGATGAAAGGGAAAACAATCTAGCACTAGAATCAGTATGAACAATGACATCTCAAGCGCAAGTATAGCACATTAACACTATACTTAATTTGCCCTAGTAGTCATAACCTAAATACTTCCCTGTTTTTGAACTACTTGCATATGTAACATGTCACATTATATGCAAGGAATGTGTATATACTGTGCTGGTCAGGGGCAGAGCATAGTTGAGACTTGAGACTAAGGTGGGCCATGGCCCCCCTTGTCCAACGTAGTCTCCATTGACGAAACACTAAATTTTGGTACTGTTTATTTGTGTTTAGAGCTCAATTACATAGACTAGCCCCTCCCGTTTGTTTGGTCAAGCTCCAACTCTAGTGCCAGGAGTACCGATGATAAAATGTCATGAATAACACTTTACAACATTATGCTGGATAAATGAATGCAGGCCTCAAAACCATATAGGCATACATAGATCTTCTACTTGAGAGAATGACAATTCATATAACATTAATTACCCTAGAAGGATGTCTGATACTATAATAATAAGAAAGGCCTTCCCACTGTCTGAAATTTTATTTAGCAACTTATATCCTGTGAACTTCAGCATCGCAACCTGAATGTGAGGAGGGAGTAAAAGTAAGATGTATGATAACAACATAACTCTACATATTCATTTGGAGAAACTAAAGGCCAAGATAATCAATCAGACAAATTTACACTGCCAAGACATTTTTGTTACAGAAATATGTCTGCCAGTTACGCTAACTGGATGACACAGCTTTGGTCCAAAGTAGGTGCTATCCTACAAGCCTTCGGTCAACTTTTCAAAATTTTAACCACCAATATAGAGTTAGATTTGTCACATGGGAATGATATGACATTAGCGCTACCTTAGAATTGTAGGGTACACCAAGCACAGAAGAAAAATGAAGTGAAATTGTGGTCAGTACATTTTTTGCAGATATTTGAAGGTAAAAGTGTAAAGTAACTAGCAGTCCTTTCACATTAATAGGGTCTAATAGCACAGGAATCTGTCTAATCATTTAAACTCTATTTTGAATAAGGAGAAAACCATGTGTCCACATGCATAGCAAGAGTGCTACATAGATTATGATATGCAATTGAAAATGAAAATGAAACCGTGTTCTGAGAGATAGATACTTTGCTCTGGTTGAAGCACATAAGAAGGAATAGAACAATCCCATAAACCATATCGGACCATATATTTGCAAAAGCTGCTCGATTTTCTAGCCTCCAATCATCCCTCAACTCTATCCTGATAAAGAAAACAAGAAAATCCTTAAGAACAAACAGACTGTACTTACTGGACAACACATAATGTTCATAATGGCAGAGAACAAATAGGATTCTGATGGATGGTGCATTTATAAAAGTAATGACTAGTCAAGAAAGCATGGTATTCAGCATTTTCTCACGCTTTTCCCCGCAGCTCAAACCAGACCTCCTCATCAGAAAGTGGAGGAGATTTGCCAATCTCTACTTCCATACGGTATCTTGCCTTTTCAATGTTTAGGTCTTTAACCATCTGCAGCTTCTGGCGCGCCTTACATCAAGTAACTCAGCTGCAAGTGGCACCTTCTGGACATATCTGTTATTAGGTAATGTTCCATGTAATACATTCTGCATTTAGCATGCATGGTTGCATGTAACGACAGAAGCAAAAAGAGATACTCTTATGACTTATCAGAGCTCAGTACTTCACTGATAAGAAGGGATGATACAGAATGGGTGAGGTGAATTACCTCTCTAAGAAGGGCATCATAACATAGTCATGGACTAGAAAATCTATCACCCACGGAACCACAATCAACAATGCTAGAAATTTGGCCTGTACAGTACAGTCTTTTTGTCAGCTCAAACAAAAACTTGATGTAAGGCGCAGGCGCGCAGCCAAGCTCATAACAGTCTTTTTTAATCAGAGCAGTAGTAACTAGTGGCATGTCATGGTTATATATTTTTTTCTCAAATACGCAAAAGATTTGCGCATCATTGTAACTAAGGTAGAAGAGTTTAACCATGCGCCCTAGGAGATCATGATTATATTATCATATCAGTGGGCAGTAGTACATTATGCTACATGGTAACACAAACAAAGGTAGTAAAAAAGAACGCACCGAGTTTGTCGAGGCATACATAAAAACTCGATCTTCGAACAGCATGTCCTCATAATCCTCATCGACGGTATTTCTCAAAACCTCAATAACGCCCTTATCCCACACAATCTCCGCAGGATCATCAGTTATCTGGTCAACCAAGCTAGCCTCCCCACCCCAGTCCCCACCTCCACTCCCCGAAGCGCCACCGCCACCACCACTGATCCAATCCTGCCACGACCGCTGCTCGGCGTTCATCGCATCCTGCTGGGCCTCGCGCAGCTCAACAATCGCCTCGGCCTTCCTCCTCCACGTCTCGAACTTTTCATTCTCCGACAGCTCCTGGTCGGCCCCAATCTCCTCCAGCAGCTCGTCGTCCTCCCTCAACCCGGCCAGGCTCTCCTCGTCGTCGTTCCAGTCCGAGAAGAAGGTCTTCCACCACGGCCGCTGCCACTTGCTGGGCCGCCGCCGCCTCCTCTTAGCGAAGACCGCCGCGTGTCTGCGCAGCCTCGCCCTCCTACTTCTGTGGGAACCGAGAGCGAGCACCCCGCGCGCGCAGACACCACGGAGGGTGCTGCCCTCGATGGGGAAGCGCAGCGCAATGCCGTTGGAAGCTAGATACCATCGCAACATACTCGCCGCCGCAGCAATCTGCACATCGGAAGCAGGGAGGAGCGGGGACCCTATATAGAGAATTTTTGCAAACAGATTAAAAGCGCGCAGTCAGTCAGTTGGTACGGAGCATCATCACGCATGTACGTATATATACACTTGTAGGTTGCAATTGGATTATTAATTAGGGTTGGACGATGCCGGGCGCTCGGTTTCGCGCAGCCGGATGTGAAGCGAAGCGAGGCGGGCATACCTGACTGTTCGGTGCAAAGACCTGGAGAAAGGCCGGCGGCGGCACTCGCCCCCCCAGTCGTCGGTGTACGGCGACGAGGGCTCGCTGGTGAGTCGGGATGATTCTGGTTCTGGGTGGGAGAGGAGGGAGAAGCAGGGAGAGGAAGAGGAGAATTCAGGCAGGCAGCTTGAGCCTTTGAGCTAGCTGCTATAGCGACGGCTAGAGTGGAGATCAGCTGATCAGGAGAGGAGAGGAGGAAGAGAAGAGAGGTCGGTCGGCGTCACATCCACCCACGACGCCGCGGCACGCCACCACCAGCCCAGCCACCCCATGGACAAACTCTAACGGCTTCTTCTATTATAGGCTGGAAGTGGGCCTTTGCCGGGATTCAGCCCGACTAAAAGGCCCAGGTTGTTGTAAAAAAAGGCCCAGGTAGATGAGGACATGGCGGCGCAAGCTGATCCTGATCCGACGGCTGCGCGCCAGATTCTCTCACCACCACACACTGCCTCGTCCTCTTCTCTTCTTCTCCCCGCTCGCAATCACAATCAGTCTCTCATCTTCACCTTGCGACAAGACGAGGAGGAGGAAAACAGGTATGTCTCGTTGTAAATTGCTGCTCCTCCTTCCCATGTTTGCTGTCTCTGTCACCGCATTCCTTCTCTTCTTCGATCTGGACGCCCAGCGGCCTTCTTGTATTTGGAACAAATGCTCGATTTTTCTCACACAAATCATAACTAGACACTTTGAAATATGAGTTCAAGGCCTGTAAACAAGAGAGGTTTTTGCCAGATGTTTTATTCCGAGTCATGGAACCTTTATTTTGCGTCCCCCCCACTCCCCCATTCTTTTGCAACACAAAGCCTACCTTTGTTAAACTAACATTTACTTTGTGGAAAGATAAAGATCCAAACTGAAACAATTTACAATTGATCTTTAGGACTTAATGAAGCTTAAAACTTGCATATATTTCGGTTTCTGAACCCTGCAACTCATTATGACTCCTTTTCTGAAGCCTTCAAGATGTCGATACGTTTCAGTTCTAAAATATGAAGTTTCCAGCTCTGGACATCCTGAAACGATAACCTGACAGATTTCAACCTCCCTACACCTCCAACATGCAAAAGAATTTCTAAGGCAAAAATGCTTGTCAATGTTATATGACAAACCAAAAGCCTCAAGTTTCCTGTAGGGTATCTATCGTGTTCACCCGGAGAATATTGCTAACCGGCTAACATAGTCTTTCGCAAGACATTGTTTTGTATAGAATATAAGGACTAGCTCAGGTTACTTCTCCAATTCACAGTCTTCCCGAACAGTCAGCCGGACACTCTGATCGATGGCCAGGCAAGCATTCGCCTTTCCGACGAAGACATCCTTCAGATTTGAAAACTTAATATGCCAAGCCAATATACCCATTGACTACCTGCAAACCGTAATAAGTTTCCCAGCCTAAGCACAAAAATAATTATCAAATTATCAAATCAGGATAGTTTATCTGTTTATAGTTTTTGGAGGTTCGATATTCATTCTTAAGAGTGACAGGAACAATTTATGTATTCATCATCTCAAGCAAGAATTCAAGAAAAACAAAAGTTGAATATACCAGAAAAAAGTGTTTTGTAATATTTTACACTGTCATTCAAGAAAAAAAATTATTTCACACTGCATTCTTCCAATTAACATTGTTGTTTTTCTTGCCAAAAGAATGAACCTGGCAATAACCTAACATACAGAAATGTGCATCCCTATTGTTCAAGGACTAAATTTCTTCTTTTTGTTCTCCCTGAACAACAAAATAGTGAATAGATTCTCCCCTACTTGCTGTCCAAACTCTGAAAATAAATAAAGCAAGTAGGAATCCAAAGCCCAATACATACCTGGAAGGCGACAATTTTCCAAGCAATTTCCCAATTAAGGAAACTAAAAAAAAATCTTAATGGCGCTTTATTTCATCCAGAACATTGCCCACACTGGGTGATAATCTTGGAAGGTATTTGTATACCTGCAACACAGAAAAATAAACTAAGTATCTTGATCTTATTCAGATTACAATGTGAACTTCTAAACTCATATAAACTAATAATACCAGGAACACCGAAAAATGTTTTACATCCATAAAAGCTGTAGCTAATAAAATCAAGCAGTCAATAGAAAATTGAATTTTGTTTCCAACAAAAAAGAAAGTTGCACCTTACTCCTCTATAAAAAGGTGACTAAAATGGTAGTACTGGAGTTGCTAAAATGTGTATTGAGAACATATGAAATGGTGAGGTAGGACCTAGGACAGAAAATTTCTTACAAAATTATAAGGTTCCTTAAAAAAGCTATGCTACTTAACTATTTTTTATCCCTGTTAATTAGACGAAAAAAGGCATACCCAAAACTTTATGTACACATCCAAAGCAACTGGAACCAGACAAACAAAAAATGTGACCGCCGCTTCATCAGATTCAAGCCCATAATGCTCGAGAACAACTTCTACCATTGTATGCCAACCTGACTCTGAATGGTACCTGAAAAAATGCAGCTAGTGGATTTTATAAAGTGGATAAAATCATTGTTTATAAAACTATAGGTAAAAAAAAACATAGTGCTTAGCTTCGGATGAAAGGGAAAACAATCTAGCACTAGAATCAGTATGGACGATGATATCTCAAGCGCAAGTATAGCACATTGGTCATAACCTAAATACTTCCCTGTTTTTGAACTACTTGCACATGTGACATGTCACATTATATGCAAGGAATGTGTATATACTGTGCCAGTCAGGGGCAGAGCTTAGTTGAGACTAAGGTGGGCCATGGCCCCCCTTGTCCAACGTAGTCTCCATTGACTAAACACTAAATTTTGGTACTGTTCATGAGTGTTTAGAGCTCAATTACATAGACTAGCCCCTCCCGTTTGTTAGGTCAAGCTCGATCTAGTGCCAGGGGTACTGATGATAAAATGTCATGAATAACGCTTTACAAGAGCATGCTAGATAAATGAATGCAGGCCTCAACTATAGGCATACATAGATCTTCTATTTAAGAGAATGACAATTCATATAACATACCCTAGAAGGATGTCTGATATTAGAATAATAAGAAAGGCCTTCCCAGTGTCTGAAATGTTATTTAGCAACTTATATCCTGTGAACTTCAGCATCGCAACCTGAATGTGAGGAGGGAGTAAATGTAAGATGTATGATAACAACATAACTCTATATATTCATTTGGAGAAACAAAAGGCCATGATAATCAATCAGACAAATTTACATTGCCAAGACATTTTTATTACTGAAAGATGTCTCCAGTTACGCTAACTGGATGACACATCTTTGGTCCAAAGTAGGTGCTATCCTACAAGCCTTTGGTCAACTTTTCAAGATTTTGACCACCAATATAGAGTTAGATTTCTCACATGGAATGATATGTCATTAGCACTACCTTAGAGTTGTGGGGTACACCAAGTACAGAAGAAAAGTGAGGCCAGTGAAATTGTGGTTAGAACATTTTTTGCAGTTATTTGAAGGTAAAAGTGTAAAGTAACTAGCACTCCTTTGACATTAGTAGGGTCTAATAGCACAGGAATCTGTCTAATCATTTAAACTCTATTTAGAATAAGGAGAAAACTATGTGTCCACATGCATAGCAACAGTGCTACATAGATTGTGATATGCAATTGAAAATGAAAATGCAACCGTCTTCTGATAGATACTTACTTTGCTCTGGTTGAAGCAGAGAAGAAGGAATAGAACAATCCCATAAACCATATCGGACCATATATTTGCAAAAGCTTCTCGATTTTCTAGCCTCCAATCATCCCTCAACTCTATCCTGATAAAGAAGAGAAGAAAGTTGTTCATACTGGCAGAGAACAAATAGGGTTCTGATGGATGGTGCATTTATAAAAGTAATGACTTGGCAAGAAAGCATGGTATTCAGGATTTTCTCACGCTTTTCCCCGCAGCTCAAACCAGACCTCCTCATCAGAAAGTGGAGGAGATTTGCCAATCTCTACTTCCATACGGTATCTTGCCTTTTCCATGTTTAGGTCTTTAACCATGTGCAGCTTCTGGCTGCGCCTTACATCAAGTAACTCAGCTGCAAGTGGAACCTTCTCGACATACCTGTTATTATGTAATGTTCCATGTAATACATTCTGCATTTAGCATACATGGTTGCACGTAACGACAGGAGCAAAAGGAGATACTCTTATGACTTATCAGAGCTCGGTACTTCACTGACGAGAAGGGATCATACGGAATGGGTGAGATGAGTTACCTGTCTAAGAAGGGCATCATAACATAGTGATGAACTGCAAAATCTACCACCCACGGAACCACAATCAACAATGCTAGGAATTTGGCCTGTACAGTACAAAGTCTTTTTGTCAGCTCAAAGTTCCAAAGTTCTTAATATAGCAATATGATGCGTGCTTGATCAGTGGGCAGTAGAAACTAGTGGCATGTCATGATTACATTATCAGTGGGCAGTAGTATATTATGCTAGTACTTGATGATAACACAAACAAGGTAGTAGTAAAAAAGAAGGCAACGCACCGAGTTTGTGGAGGCATACATAAACACTCGATCTTCGAAGAGCATGTCCTCATAATCATCATCGACGGTATCTCTGAAAGCCTCAATAACGCCTTTATCCCACACGATCTCCGCAGGATCATCAGTTATCTCGTCCAACAAGCTGGCCTCCCCGCCCCAGTCCCCACCTCCACCTCCATTCGCCGACGCGCCGCCACCACTGGTCCAATCCTCCCACGACCGCGCCTCGGCGTTCATCGCATCCTGCTGGGCCTCGCGCAGCTCAACAATCGCCTCGGCCTTCCTACTCCACTCCTCGAACTTTTCGTTCTCCGACAGCTCCTGGTCAGCCCCAATCGCCTCCAGCAGCTCGTCGTCCTCCCTGAACCCGGCCAGGCTCTCCTCGTCCTCGTTCCAGTCAGCAAAGAAGGTCCTCCACCACGGCCGCCGCCACTCGCTGGGCCGCCGCCGTCTCCGCCTCGTCTTAGCGAAGACCGCCGCGTGCCTGCGCCTCGCCCTCCTACTACTCCTGTGGGAACCGAGAGCGAGCACCCCGCGCGCGCAGATGAGGAAGCGCGGCGCAATGCCGTTGGAGACGGCCGCGGAACAGCTCATGAAGGTCATGAAACGGGGACCATATGCTCCCTAGCCCCAGCAGTACTTGGAACTGGAACACGAGGGCAGATGCACGAGGAGCAGCTGGAGCGGCGACGGGCTCATGCCATCGGCATTCCAAAATACTCGTTGATCGTTGTCATAGCAATCTGCGCTCGGAAGCAGGGAGAGGCGGAGCCTATGTAGATAATGTTTGCAAACAAAAGCACGCGGTCAGCTCAGTTGGTACGGAGTATCATTCATGCATGTACGTATACGCTTGTAATTGGACGAGATAGCTTGGATTAAGGTTCGACGATGGCGCTCGGTGCGCGGGCGTACCTGGCTGGTGGGTGCAATTGCGAAGGGCGGCCGGCAAAGACCTGGAGAAAGGCCGGCGGCGGCAATTGCCCAGTCGTCGGTGTCCCGGCGACGACGAGGGCTCGCCGGTGACTCGGGATGATTCTGATTCTGGGTAGGAGAGGAGGAAGATGAGAGCAGGAGTTCCCAATTCAGGCAGGCATTCAGCTAACTACGGCTAGAGAAGATCGAGAAGTAGAGAGACGAAGAGGTCGGCGTCATATCCACGACGCTGCACTGCACACCAGCCACCCTCATGGTCTCATGGATAGGGCCCAACTCATGGACCATTCTAACGGTTTCGTCTGGGGCTTCAGTTTGAATGGGCCTTTGCCGGATAAAGCTCGACTAACCGCCAGGTAGAGATGCCGACGTGGCGACGAAAGCTGATCCTGATCCGACGGCTGGCGCGCCAGCTTCTCTCCCAACCACACTCTCCTGACTCCTTTCCTCTCCCCGCTCGCAACCGGTCTCTCCAATCTCCTCTCCTCTCCTAACCCTGCGAGGAACCGAGGAGGAGGAGGAATACAGGTATGTCTCGTTGTAAATCGCTGCTCTCCATCCCATGTTTGCTGTCTCTGTTACCGCATTCCTCCTGTTCTTCGATCTGGACGCCCAGCAGCGGCCTTCTTGGATTTGGAACAAGTGCTCGATTTTACTCACACGAATCATAACTAGAGACTTTCAGTAAACCAAGGCAAAGCTGACAATTTGGAGTACCAAGGCCTGTTTAATTTTGAAATATGAGCTCCTCATTCCCTACTCTACTCACTCGCATTGCGCAGCATGCTGTTTATGCTCTGCATATAGCTGGTCCCAGACCCGGGTAAGGAGGAGGGTTGGGATAGCTTGGCGAGCCAAAGATCTGAACTTTATGTTGTCCAAGCTTTTGGAGTCCATTTCTGTCCTGACTGCCAAAAGTGACTTTACAACAAACAATAACTGACGGCAGATGCCTTTGCCCACTTCTGTCATTCTCTGTGCATAGAGTGTATCGATACTCGATAGACAAATTTTAGTTTTTTTTTATATGTATAAAGACAAATTTCAGTGAAGCACAAACTTTGTCATTGTCGCATTCATACATGGTAACTTTCATGGCAAACTTTGGATGATAAATGATGCTTAAATCTGATATACTAGGTGCAAAGGCATGGTGGGGAATGTGCAAATCAAATCTCTTCAAAGAATACCATAGTCTCCAGATACTATAGGGTAGTTAATGTGATGAACTGCCCATCCTGCACCTCTCCACCTTATTTTTCTAAATGGCAGGTTCCACGCTTCCATTTGAAGAAGTTGAAGTTGCAGAATTTTAATGTTCAGATTTCAGAATCATGCATAGTGACAGTAACTTGTAGAATTCTAGTTCAGGAAATTTTACATCTCATTCACTTCGGTTGCATTTGCAGGAAAGGTATTGGTATTAGCACAACTCCAACCAGATTGTGTGCCATAATTTTGTTGCAAGGACAGAAACCGAAGAGTTCAATTTCATCAATATGGCTTTGCCTTCATCAAGCATGAGAGCTGCATCCTCCACGGTTTACCCTGTCTACCTTAGTCTCCACCACCAACCCAACCGCCACCATACTTCTTTTCGTCCCTCCAGAGCAAACCATGACAATACCCACAAATGCACCCAGTCACCCAAAATTCTTAGACGGTCTCTCTTCTCCCTACCTGCTTCATTTCTTCTCCTCCACACATCCTCCTCCCTTGCTGTAGATGACACAAACACACCATCCACCTCAACAATCGACACCACGATCACAGATCGCATTTTCATGGACTTCAGTGTCTGTCCAAGCTACTTTCGCTCAGACAGACCTCTGGGAGCCGAGCTTTCCTCATGCCCTGATTCTGAGCCTCTTGGTCGTGTTGTCTTTGGTCTCTATGGTCGGCTTCTCCCCGTTACTGCTGCCAATTTCAAAGCTACGTGTACTGCAGCTGCATATAGGGGCACTCTTGTCCACAAGCTCCTTCAAGGACAGTTTTTTGCTGCTGGCCGACAAGGTTCTCGGCGTGACAAGGGTGAGGTCGAGCCTCCCTCGGGCCTTGTTAGGAATTCTGAGACTGTTAACCCTAAAGCATTCGAATTAAGGCATGCAAGGCCCGGCACACTTTCCTTATGCCTTGGACAGAATGATGATGATGATGACATCAAGCTCAACCCTAATTATCACAATGTTGAATTCTTGGTTACTACAGGGCCAGGACCCTGTCCCGAGCTTGATGGCCAGAACATTGTCTTTGGGACTGTATTGGAAGGTGAGTTACTTTCTTTTTCAGAACATTGTTTTGACATCACATTATATTTTGAATCGTCGGTCTTTCAAGAACTTTAGTATTCTTCCCTTCAATATTTTCCAAACACATTACAACGTTGAGGAAATTCATGGAATGACTAACATATGACTGAAGGTGTTGATAAAACATCAAAATTTAGGGTCACATCCGAAGTCCGGATAATTTTGTGGTCCAACAGAAGAAAACTTAAACAACATGAAAACTAGTTCATTTTTCATGAATTGGGACTATATTTGATGTCCTTTGTTAATTCTTTAGTATCATAGGCTTGCTAAGCTCTGACACATTGTGTTCAAGTAAGCTGTATGACTACATCAGAGTATAGATGGTGAAAATTTAATTTGCAGCTTTACATGAGCATATAGATGTAGGTGTATATCCTTGTGACATGCAAATTTCACGCTTTGTGCAAAACGGAAATCTTAAGGAATCTTATATTATTGCAGCTATCTTATTTCATTCATGGTTACTTTTGTGGTCCAAACAAAAGAAAACATAAACATTGAAGCTGAGTTCATTTTTTGTCAAATGATATTTTGTTGAACCTATATGGCTACATCAGTGTGTAGAAGGTGCACTTTGATTTGCGGTTTTACATGACTTCAGCCAGTTCATGAAATTTTCAGCACAATGCAAGGGTTTCCTTTCTCTCATGAAGAAATCATTGTTCTTGATGATTAGCAATTTATGTGGCCACAAATATATTTTATGCATGAGTAATAACAAATTAACAATATGGATATTGTTGTGCATTCACTGACCTCTTTTGGCAAGTGCAAATGACACTAGGTAGAACAAACAAAAAATCAACCCATATGTGGTGAAAAGTAAAATTCCAAATAGTGGTTTTGTTAAAAACGCTGAGACCATGCATTCTTGGGTCTTATATTTCATTATTCCGCTGATATGTGGTTGGGAAATAATGATGTAGGTGCACATTAAAAGCCGATATTTTGATGCCTATACTTGTTCTCAAGCGGCAGATTTGTCACACGAGGATAATAGAGTAGATTCGTCTAGATACAGATAAGAGAAAAACTGGGAAAAGATGGCAGCGATATCTTATTCGTTATTAAATTCGCTAATGGATATGGTAAAGATATTTGTAGATCTTGATCCACTACCTTAAAATATTGCAAATACCTTTTGGCATATCAATCCTAGTGGAAATTATATGTGCTAATTTCTCTGGTAAATTTTAACTTCAAAGTAGCGTAGAAAAAACTGAGTCTGAGGTGCTGTCTTTTCTCATGCTGATAGATTACACAAGATATTATACCACACTATAGAGAATCACAATATCTTCCTTTGGTTTCTTGAGTCTGCAATATTTACGAATTTGTGTACCTCTTGAAATGTCTCTGGCTGATTGGCTTTTGTGTTGTGATGCCTGCACCATTTGTTATCCAGGAATGGATGTTATCACCAGCATCGCAACCATACCTACCTATAAACCAGCTGAAAGGATCCGCCTCTTCAACGACTTTGCACAGCTGATTGGCGATGAAAGGGCTCAAACTGCTCGGGCTATGTGGGACCGCCCACTTAAGACTGTATATATCAGTGACTGCGGGGAACTGAAAGTGACCAAACAATCTCTTTCCCCTCCAAGCTTGCCATGACTACCAGTGTCATGACATTACCCACATAGCCAATTTTGTGTCTCTATTGCTCGGATCCTCTCTATGTACTCTATGAGGTGTATATATTACTTCTGTTATTAAACTTATGCATGTCCCATGAGCTGTATATATAGCTTCTGTTATTAACTTATACATGTTCCCTTGCTGACAAAATGACTGTATTAGCATACTTTCTCGATTTTTCTTTTCTGTATATTAGCTGCAGCTTGTAGAACTTTGAAACCCTGATGAGTCATGTCTAACTGTACAAATTTTCCATGTGGAAGACATTGTCGTCACCAATGTCATTTCTGGTTTTAACACTGTTTCTCTGATATGCAGAAGAATTGCGCATCATTGTATTGATTAAGGAGAAAACAGTATAAGAATACAACCCACAAACAGCAAAAGACACAATCATGCTGATGCTTTCATAACATCCAAGCCGCAAGAACAATCAGTTTTTAGAGTCTGGGCTAGAAATCTTGGAGAGCAGCGTGCTAGAACATACATGTTTAGAGAAAGCACAGGTGGTGTCGTGGTGAGAACGAGTTGCATATTCAGTCTCCTCTTCCCGATCACAGAGAAGGCATTTTTCCAGATGTTGTAGTTGTCTCCGAGGTAGATTGCAATCCAGCATCTGCCATGGATAGTTAGGAGCCTAGGTTTTCCAAATCAACTTCTATGGTTCAAAGGAAACTTATCCAATGAAGAATCTCATGTGCCGATCAATATTCATCATGACATTCTGGGTGGAGGATCACCTCAGATAGAAAATCCCAAATATCTAAGTATTCAAACTTGTATATCCTGAATCAAAGCAAATCTGCCATCGATCATCAAAAAAATAAAAATGCGCTGTGACACATATTAATACTGAATAAGCATGAACATTTAAATGGCAAAAGTACATTCAGAGCTATAAAGGCATGAAATTATGGTGCGTGTCACTAATTATGGCAAAAAAAAAAAGGGAACTGCTGCAATGTAGTCATTGGGCCTTCTTCTCTTATATAAGAATAAATAGCAGAGCATGAAAGAACCAAAATTTCTTGAATAACATTGTAGACCATAGGGAATCTAACATCTATTCCCTGTAGGCAATGAAATTTGCAATGTCATGAAGCCCAGCTTCTCTGTAACACTCAGCTATCCGATCCACAACCTCATCCCAGTTACCATCCACAGACGCTAAATCCATTAAAAATGCTGCCTCGTCAAGAACCACCTGCAGTGCACCAGAGCAGAAGGCAATGGAGTCAGCCAAGAAATAATTGAACGCTATCGTGTGACAAATTAAAGAGACTCTCGTCAGCCACCTGTTCTGGAGCCTTTCCTTTCTTCAGGTCCTCACGCTTACCCTCCTCAGTTACCTTCTCTCTTATAAACTCGAGCTGCTCATCCTCCCACCCAGCTAGTTCAGCAGCCTCCTGTTTCATGAAAAAGGCGTATAAATTAAGTCTTTGGTTTCAACTTTCAAGAAAAGAGAGACTAAACGAAAATAGGGAAATATCTGTTGGCTGCTAGGCATACAAGCAGAACATGAAAAGGACGCACAAATCATACTTCGTAACTGCAGCCAAGTGTCCACCACGGTGATTTCAGAGCCACTCGAGCTGAATCTTTGGCTTCAGATGTACGTCCAACTCTATAAACAACAAACCAACAAGAAAATAAGGAACACAGATGAACATTAAATTTTGTTCCAGCCTTTGTGCATGGAAAATATATCGCAGTGGCCACAGACAAGTGTATTACCATCTTTTGAGGCCAGACAGTACAGATTGTTTAGGTATATAAATTCTGCATGTGACCAATATTGTGTTTGTCTCACATTTTGCAATTAAATCAGGAAATCCTACCTAATGTTCATGCAACATGTAATGTAACCATGTAATAATATATGTTCACACTGACACGAAATGCAAACATCCACCTAATAGGTTCCCCTGATCTCGCATGGCATAATTTGTAATTATACTGATCATGTCACAACAATACCTTTTTAAAATTTCTGCATTGAACACAAAGGGTCTTCCAAATCCAGGAAATTGATCTCTACTATAGAATTCTCCAGTAATGAGAGCCGAGACCTGAAGAGAAAAAATAATACACATTAAAAGTCATTATGTAAACAAGATCAATGCATCTCTGGAAAGATCTAAGAGTTTTACATTATCTCCTTTTTCAAGATGACGCAATGTTTTCCTCTCTATAACATCAGGGAAAAGTCCAACCTACAAAAGAGCATCAGTACACAAGCTGCCTTGTAACTCAGTAATTAGGAACTGACATGTATCTCTCAACCTTCTTCAACAAATAGACATCAAGGTCTGCCAGCTGCGACTCTTTGAAGTCACCTTTAGCATAAAGGTTTTTACCAGCTTCGCCCACGGCAGCCCACAAATCATCACCAGTATCAGCACTGATGTCAGCCTCAACAAGTATTCTGTGGATATACTGTTTCACCTGATAAACATGAGTAAAATTATGAAAATCGCATGTGATTTTCACTTACATTGAGACAAGAAAGTTGTAATAAGATGCAAAACAAACTTACATTCTTAGCCAAAAGCCACAGCCCATGTTTATGAACTTCCACAACAGGCATTTCCATCCTGAAGGACAAGTAAATACATATGGATATTTGGATACACATTATTTAGATGCCTTTTGAAAGATACCATGGATATAGAAATAGCAGCATATTTAGTGTACCCAGCTGGAGCGGTTGGCCATCTAAGGAGGGATGTCAAATTACCTGGATTTTGACTGATAATGTCAGGTAAAACCAAAGACTTATCAAACCTAGATCATAGCTAGATGCTTCTGATCAAATGAATCAATCGATCTCTAACATATCCATACCTGCTGGGCTTTCTGATAAGGGAACAACAACTGGAATCAACCCTCTTTTTGCTCCAGGAGAAACAATCTTTTCACCTGTCAAATGTACTTTTCTTGATGAAGGAATACTTTTTATTCTGGCCTCTGTATGAGGCCCTAGCGGAGCCAGAAGCTTTTTGGAGCCCGGGCAATTCTTATTATGTAAAAATATTTAGCTAGAAAATTACGGGATTTTACTTTGATATAAACAAATTTTTCTTTTGAGCGTCGGCGACGAGCCCGGCCGGCCGCCAGGGGTGGCCGGGCGGTGGCTCCGCCACTGGCCTGAGGCATGCACTGAACATTTGTTATTGCAAACTTCAGTTATAAGATGGTATGAAAACAGTAGGTAGTACATAGCAGCGGAGTTCATACATCCACAAATGCTTGGCAAGGATCTCCATGATTGTTGTCAAATGTAAGAGGTTCCCAAGTACCACCAACTAGATTTTTAAACAGCATGGTTTCTATTGTGAAATTCGTAAACGGGCAGAGGAGCGATCAGAGGCAAAGCTCGAATTAATAACTGCTACCAAGATAAAAATAACTAATCAGATAGGATTGCTGCTGAAGCCCAACACTAACAAATGACTGGAACTGTCAATTTACCAGTGCCAGAAGGGGAAAAAAAAGAGAAAATAACGGTAAAAGGCCCACAATTCTCAGGTATGCACGAGTGGAGGTGGACAACAGGGAAGCAACCACAAAAGAAATCCTTGTGAGATATTTGAAGTCATACCTCGTGCTTGAAGCACATTCAGGAGAGAGTTGAGATGCTCCGGAGGATCGGTTGCGGCGATTTCCTTGACAAACGATGCATGATCTGGAATTAATTTGGGAGATCGTAAGAAACGCAGTTGCCATTGGCATAAAAGGGGAACGGGATTTATGTACACTCCAATAGTGTAATTCTGGCACTGCTCACCGTAGGCAGTGGCGGCAGCGGCAGCGGCGGCTGCGACAGGGGAGGAGGAGGCGCAGCGGGCGGCGACCAGAGACGCCCCGAGCGCGCGCGGCCCCATCAGTACGGACGCGAAGGCGGCCCTGCTCACCGGCGGCCTCATCCTATCCGCGCGAGCGCGGCGTCTCGATCCGGTGGTGGTGATGGCAGCGGCGGGTGGACGCGGCGGACCTCACCTGAGCCAGCCGTGGCCTGTGGACTCCGCAGCGTTACCACCACGCTGTGTTATTCTGGGCCGCAGTGGGGCGTTGAGGCCCAGGTAGATCCGGACATGGGCCGGAGCCCGCTGATCCGACGGCTGGCATTTGAGCACCAATCCACGCACGCTGCTGCAGCTCGGAAGCGCGGCTCCGCGGCTGGCGCGCGATCTTCTCTCCCCACCACATTCTCCCTCCTGGCCTCCTCCTCCTCTCTTCTTCTCGACGCACCCCAATCCGTCTCGCCTGCCTGCCTCCCTCCCTGCCTTCTCTCTCTGTTTCCCTCCTCTCCTTTCCTCTCTCTCTCTCATCGACGGACTTCCTGCGAGGAACCCAGGAGGAAGAGGAGGAGCACAGGGAACACAGAGGGCTATCCAGGTACGCTGTGAATTGCTGCCATCTATGTCACCGCATTCCTTCTGTTCCTCGATTTGGATGCCCACCTGAGCTGCCTTCTTGGATTTGGATTTTGGAACAAATGCTCGGTTTTAATTAATAACTCAACAGCATTATCCATGGCTGCTGAATCCTGAACTCCTGATACGTCTCTGTTTGATGCATTGGTCGTCAGACACTTCCTCTGCATCATACACCTATGCTGCGGGATGGAGGAAGCTAACGTCCACGGGACCAGCGGCCACCCTTCCACCGCTCCTGATGCGTCTCCGGAATCGGCTGTTCCATCCAGTTCTGACCAAGGCTCTCAATCCTGTCAGGCCCAGCGCCAGCGACAGGTCCACCAGCTGGATGAAACGCAGGAGCCAGACAGCAGCTACAGAGCGTCAGAGATCGCCGGCCGCTTCAACGATGCCGTCGATCCCAAGGCCAGCATCGACACCGCGGCGCCCATCGATTCCGTCAAAGGCGCCGTCAGCAAATTCGGAGTCGGAGGGGTTGATTGGAAAAAGGTATTGTGCAGACCTGCGTCGCTCCTGCAATCTGAATCACATCCTCTGTTCAGATCAGACGCTAGTTTCTTAGCATTCCTTCTTCTTCTTCTTCCACGTTACATGCATGCATGATGCGTGGCGCAGAAACGCAAGCAAGTCCAGGATGAGCTCGACCAGGTACAGGAAGAGGTCACGGAGTACCAGAAGAGAGCACAGGAGGCGGAGGCCGGCAGAGCGCAAGCTCTGCGGGAGCTGGGAACCGCCGTGAAGACTGCCGACGAGCTGAGGCTGGGCCTGGAGATGGCGCGGGCTGAGCAGAACCAGGCGCGGGAGCAGGCGGAGCTCACCGAGCTGCGCCTCGAGGAGGTGCGGCGCGGCGCCGCGGCGAAGGCGAAGGCGGAGCTCGACGCCGTCAGGGAACGCCGCGCGGCCGCGCTCGCAGACCTTCGGGCGTCGCGAACGGAGGCCGAGTCACTGGAGAAGGTGCGAGCGCGCGCCGCGGCCGAGGCGGGCGCGGCGGTGGCGCGGGCGCGGGAGGCCGCCGAGGCGTCGCGGGAGGCTGGGAAGGCCGTCGAGGACCTCGCCGCCGAGCTCGTCGCGCTGAAAGGGGAGCTGGAGTCCTCGCGCGCCGCTCATGTCGAGGCGGAGGAGAAGAGGATGGGCCTGGCGGTCGCGTGGGAGGAAGACAAGTTGCGGTGGCAGATCGAGCTGGAGGAAGCCGAGCTGGAGTCCAAGAGGCTGCGAGAGGAGCTCGTGGCGGCCTTCGACGTCGAGATGAAGGCGGAGGCCGCTTCCCAACTGTTGGCGAGCCTAAAAGCCGAGCTCTTCGCTTGGGCCGCGGAAGGAACACTGGACCAGGAGGACAAGCCGGCGACGATCAGCACCCAGTCGGTGCTGGAGAAGACCAAGAAGGAGCTCGACGACGTCAAGGCGAGCGTCGAGAGGGCCAAGGACGAGGCCAAGTGCCTGCGCGTCGCCGCTGCCTCGATGCGCGATGAGCTGGAGAAGGAGAAAGTGGAGCTCTCCGCGCTGCGGCGGAGGGAAAGGGAAAGGGAAAGGGAAGGGCTCTCGCCAGCGTCCATCCCTTACCTCGAGGAGGAGCTGAAGTGGTTGACCGCCGAGCTCACCGAGGCGGAGGCACGAGCGAAGGCGGACGACGACGAGAGCAAGATGGCTGAGCGGGTAGGCGAGGCACGGCGCGAAGCGGAGGAAGCGAAGGCGAAGGCCCGGTCGGCTCGAGAGGAGGTCGCCAGGGCCAGGGAAGATGCGAGCGTGGCCAAGGCCGCCGTCGCGGCCATGGAGGCACGGCTGGAGGCGGTGGCGCGGGAGATACTCGCCGCGAACACGTCGGAGGAGATCGCCACGGCCTCGGCCGGCGCGCTGCTGCAAGAAAGCAAGCCGTCCACAAATGCACAGAGCAATAAGGCCTTGGAAGGGGGCGAGAGCGTGACGCTGACGATGGAGGAGTACGACGAGCTGAGCCGGAGAGCGCAGGAGACAGAGGAGGCCGCCGGCATGCGGGTGGTCGAGGCGGTGAAGCTGATCAAGGAGGCCAAGGACGCGGAGGTGAGGAGGCTGGAGAAGGTCGCGCGGCTGGACAAGCAGACCGAGCTGAGGCGGCAGGCGCTGGAGGCCGCGACGCTGGAGGCCGAGGAGGCGGAGTTCGAGAAGCTATCGGCGGAGCGAGAGCTCAGGCAGTGGCGCGCCGAGCACGAGCAGCGGCGCGCGCCCGGTGACACCGGCTCGCCCCGGCCGGGCCTCGCCGAGATCTCCGTCCTCGATGATCCGGGCGCCGCCGACGGGCGCGGGAACCCGCACATAGTCAGCCCGAGAGGAGGGTACATGCCGCGGACAGACCTGTGCTCGGCGGCGGACGCGGACGCGGACGCGAGGCAGAGGAAGACCTTCTTCCCGCGGATTGTCATGTTCTTGGCGCGAAAGAGAGCTCAGTCTTGGAAGTGATCAACAACCGGCTTCTTTTTGAATTTTTTTGGCTTATATGTCTCTTGGGACTTGCTTTTTGTACATGGCTTGCTCGGAACAGATGAAATACGATGGTACAAGTGTAAAATGTGTACTGATGACACAGGCAGATCATAACTTTTTTTTTTACCGGAGTTGTGATCCTTGCTTGGAAATATTGACAGACCCAGGGTGCGTTTGCGAGGGTGGTCCAGGCCGGCCTTGCGCTCGTGGGCTGCAGGCTCCCGTGTTTGCGGCCTTGGCCCGCGAGCGAGCCCGGCTCCCAGGAGTCAAATACGACGCCGCTGCCTGGCCCTGGAGAAACGCCGCTAGGGTTCGTTTCTGGCTAGCTCGGCTGCGCGCGGCGCTCGCGGACGATTTCGGGCGGCGGCGGGGTGGCAGTTGGTGGCGGTTAGCCTCTCAGCCCGGCTGCCTCTTCAATGACAAACACAGCCTCGCCTGAACCGAGTTCACTGGGTACACAGGCGCAAATAAGAGCTGTTGCACCACTTGGGGCAGGCCTGCCCAGGCCTGGGCCAGTTGGGCTGGCCAGGCCGGCCAAGTACAGGGTCTCGAACGCGCCCTCAATAACCCTTTTTCACTCACTCTGTCGAATCTATTCTGCTTTTACACATGCTCACCTATAGGTCTCTAACAAAACGTAAATGTTTCTGATTTGGGGATGGGAAGGTTCATAGCATCTGTCGGGTGGAATTCATCTCACTCTCACCAGACATGGCTCGATTCGCAGCACACCATCAACACATGAATAGAGTAGGCCTCATACTTGCCCAGCCCACAGCAAGCATCAGTGGATGCTGATCTCTGGTTAAAGGAATAACCGTCGGATAGCGAGCAGGAATCGCTTTGTTTCTCAGTAACTGATTAGCCTTTCTTTTGAAGGAACTGTCACGCATAATGGGGTGTTTGGTTTGGGCTGCTAAATTTTAGTCCCTCCTAAATGGTTCAGTCCTATTTATTCACTTCAGAGTTGTTAGAGAGGGCTAAAGCGCTTTTAGTCCTATTTAGTCATAGTATTTGGATAAAAAGTGACTAAATAAGGCTAGATTTAGGAGCTCCTAGCTGAACCAAACACCGTATGCTGATCGTTCTTAAATGATAAAAAGTATGAAGAATCCATATCAGGGCTCTAGTTCCCGAGACAAAGAATATAGCCATATTTTAAATGACTATTTGTTACTCTGGCAAAGAACTAGAGAATAGGAGTGTCATCATCATGAGAAAGCTTGAGCTCCAAAGCTACAAAACCATGTGCACGCTTGAGACCTATTGTTATACATATAAAACATGCAATAATTTTTTGACTTGGTTGTGCTCGGCTATGCTTTTCATCTTTGTTGCTGCTGCCTGCGCTGCCACACTTCTCAGCAGGTATTGTGCAAAACAAGCAGCCATAGCTCAAACAGCTGTTGTAGAAGTGCGGCTGAGCACATTTGATATATTTGTAAGAAATAACATCAAAACAGTACTATGACATAACACTCGAAAAGTGTGACATGATGCATTAAGAAAGCCCAAATACATTTGCTAACCATCCATTCTATCATATAAGTATAACCTATATTTCAAAGATGCAAAGATCAAGTCAAACAACCTACAACATGCTACATCGCACAAATGAAACATACACACTATACAAACTTGTTTTATTGTTCTTTCTTGGTGGACACTCTCTCTCTCTCTCCTTGCTTTCCTCCTTTTTAAGGAGTTAGCAGTTTTATTAAAGACTGAGAAATAACTATTGCGGGTAAGTTCATTTATACTCTCTATTAAAGATGAAATTAGTGTAGAGGCACGAACCAAAGGCCGGATGCGCCAAATTATAGACGTCTTTATTTTTAGATCAAAGGCATTCACCCGGCTTTTATTGAAAGCTTAACGAAAGCCCAAGATCCTGCTGGGAATACCAGCGTACAGATTAAGCACTAAACCCTTCAAAGAACTCTACTAACAACACATCCAAAGATCTACCACCAGACCTCTAAACCAAAACAACAAGTTTGAATCCACCAACATTCGGACAAACCTAAGCAGACAAAAGACAAACACTCGCCAAAGCTACATTGCCACAGTGGCATTAGAAGCAACTAGATTTATCATATCATTTGCCACAGGCTTCAGATTGGGCTTCAAAAGCGGACGCCAGGATTTCACCACCATCAACGTCTTGTAAATAATTGCCACCAGGGAAGTCATCGTCTTCTTGTTAAACACCACATCATTGCGCGCCTTCTAGATAGTCCATAACGCACCTGCACATAGGAATAACGTTACCTACTGTTTTTTCCTCTAAGTTTGGTCAAGATCTCTAAAAATAGCGATGAACAACTTGTTGGCGACAACGGCCAACTGAGACATTCACGAAAAAGGACCATAAGAATACAGCAATGGGGCATTGGAACAGAATATGGTCCGACGTTTCAAGTCTATCACAGCTGAAACATTCCTCCGGTCCAGACCATTTCTTCTTCTTCAATTGGACCCCACACTGGATTCTATCATGTATGGCCACCCATAAAAAAAATTTTAACCTTCAAAGGAATATTACATTTCTAGATAAGCATCATCTGCACATCTTGAACCCCTCCAAAGGTCATCAAGTTGTAAAGTGTGAAAGCTCTAGTTTGATTTTGGTGAATTGATGAAACCCTAAGTACTAATCTAGTTTATCAAGTGATCATGAGATAGGTAGCACATTCCAAGTGGTGAAGCAAATGAAGATCATGACATGATGGTGGTGATGTCATGGTGATGATCAAGCGCTTGGACTTGAAAAGAAGGAAGAGAAAAACAAAAGGCTCAAGGCAAAGGTATAAATGATAGGAGCCATTTTGTTTTGGTGATCGAGACACTTAGTGAGTGTGATCACATTTAGGATCAATAGCCATACTATTAAGAGGAGTGAAACTCGTATCGGAATACGGTTATCAAAGTGCCACTAGATGCTCTAACTCATTGCATATGCATTTAGGATCTAGTGGAGTGCTAACACCCTTGAAAATGTTTGTGAAAATATGCTAACACATGTGCACAAGGTGATACACTTGGTGGTTGGCACATTTGAGCAAGGGTTAGGAACTTCACCGGCGGAGTATCCACCCGTAGAGTACGGACAGTCCGACGGTGCCATCGGCGCCCTAGACAGAAAAGACGGAGGTCACTGTAAGTGACCGGACGCTGGTCTCGGAAGGACCGGCGCGTCCGGTTAGGTGGAGCTTGAAGACGCTGGCGTCGATCTCTGACCGAACGCTGGGTCACTTAGTGACCGGACTCACGCTGGGTGAGTCCGGTCAAGCATGACCGGACGCGTCCGGTCGTAAAAAGTCGTCGTCCGATCATTTTGAGCTGTTGCGTCCGGTCATCACTTGACCATTGAGATCGGGCGATTGACATTTAAAGAGAGGGGACATGTGGCACGCATCGCGTGACCGGACGCTGAGGTCCAGCGTCCAATCAATATGACCGAAGCGTCTGGTCACCCCGCGTTGTGCCTAGTGAAGGGGTACAACGGCTCTATTTCGTGGGGGCTTCTATTTAAGCCCCATGGTCGGCTCAAGCTCACTCCCTTAGCCATTTGCATTGACATAGCAACCTTGTGAGCTTAGCCAAAGCCTTCCCACTCATCTCCATCATAGATTTAACATCTTTGTGAGATTGGGAGAGAATCCAAGTGCATTGCTTGAGTGTTTGCATCTAGAGGCACTTGGTGTTCGTGTTTCGCTGTGGGATTCACTTGTTACTCTTGGTGGTTGCCGCCACCTAGACAGCTTAGAGCAGCGAGGATCATCGAGCGAAGGTTGGTGATTGTCTTCGGCTCCGATCGTGGTGGTTATGAGGGGTTATTGACCTTTCCCCGGCGGAGAACCAAAATGTACTCTAGTGGATTGCTCGTGGCTTGTGTGATCTTCATCTTATGTTGGTTGTGTGGCACCCTATTGAGAGTTTGGCGTGTGATGCCAATTAGCGCGTGAACCTCCAAGTGAGTGAATCGCCACAACAATGAGTAGCTTGCCGGCAAACAAGTGAACCTTGGTAAAAAAATATTGTGTTCATCATTTGATTCCGATGTGATTGGTCTTCATTGTTATTCATTATTGTGATTGATTGGCTCCTTCCTCGACACGGCGGTATAACCTTCTTGCTCACTCTCTTTACATTACCGCATACTAGTTGTCAAGCTCTTCAGTGTAGCTAGTTGTGAGAGTTTGTTAGTTTGGTTAGTGTGGCTCTTTAGTTAGCTTTTGAGAGCACACTAACTTAGTGTAGTGTCATAGCTATTGTGTGGATAGAAACTATATAAACTAGAATTGTGGTAGGTGGCTTGCTATTTTAGTAGGCTAGCACGACACTTGCTTCGCCTCATAATTGTCTAACCGGTTTGTTAAGTGTTGTTGTAGAAATTTTTAATAGGCTATTCACCCCCCTCTAGCCATTAGGACATTTCAAGTGGTATCGGAACCGAGGTCACCGTGATTTGAGGCTTAACTACCTTCGGTGTAAAAATAGCTCAAATCAACAACACCAAGAAGCCACCCCAATTTGATGGCTCAAATTATCCTTATTGAAAAGCTAAGATGACAACTTATATCAAGTCAATCAATAGGAAGGTTTGGAAGGTGGTAGAGACAAAGATTGAGATTGAAGATGAAGAGGCTCCCACAGCTGCCGAAGAAATACTACTCCAAAATAATGATATTGCTCTTAGTGCCATCCATGATGCTTTGGATAAAAGAACATTTGAGCAAATCAAGAATATTGAGAGAGCTCGTGAGGTATGAAAGAAATTGGAGGAATCATTTGAAGGCACTCAAGCCGTGAAGGGTGCAAAGGCATACATTCTCAAAGAGAAGTTTACAAGCTTCAAGATGAAGAAGGATGAGAGTGTGTCGGAGATGTTTCATAGGCTTCAAGTGCTTGTCAATGATCTCAAAGCACTTGGAGAAGAAGTGAAGGACAAGGACTTCTTCTATAAGTTCTTG